CTCTTTTGCAAAAGCTCTGAACTGCTCCAATAATTATCTTCTTTTTCTTCTTCTGTTTCTCTCTGCAACTCTTTTCCCAACAACTCTGGCCTCTATCCTACAGACCATTCACCTCTCTGTGGCTGCCCTCAGCAGTGCCTGCAGTAAATTCCAGGGTAGTTGGAAACACAAACATGCACAAGCCTTGGGCGAGCAGCTCAGTCATGATAGACCCCTCCTTAACACCACCGCACCTCTCTCCGCTTTCCTCGCCGCACAAGGGGTCTTTGTGTGTGTGGCTGCTTCACAAGGTCTCACTTCAGATCTTCTCTAATGTTTAACCTGCATCATAGGCCTTTGCAGACCAGGTATAAACATCTAGAGTCCTTTTGTGATGGAACCACAAGCGGACAGCTTTAAATAGAGGTGTGAACACACCCAGGATGCATTTCACACTCATTAAGGTCCAATCACTCGTTCTTCATTTTGTATATGTAAATTTCGAGCAATTGAAAATGTACCTTAAAACAGTATACACATACCGCTGTGGGGCGTAGAAAAGTACTCCCATCCTGCAGGCAATGCTTTCTCATTAGTCACTGCACGTTTCTGTGATAATGATGGTTTATGTGAGAGTAGCATACCAATAATGAGAACCATTTTTCATGATGTCTTTTCACAAAAGGTTATCTACATATTGAGCGAGGAAGTGAGATGCGATCAAGTGGCCACTGGAGGTGCATAAGGAGACACAATAATGCAGGGTGTTAACTGAAGCTGTCCCCTTGTGATTGCATCACAAAAGACGCATGCTAATACCACGTCTGAAGAGAGCCTATAGGTGTAATTCATGTGTTTAAGTCCCCAGTTGTTGTACCAGTCAGCAGAGTGTGAATGTTAATCATATAATTAATGATTCCTTCAGCACACATAAACCAATGTTTTGGACTCTGGCGGTTTGCAGGACAAATGTGATTACAGTAATTGTGGCAGACTAATGACGTGTTAGATAAGAAAGGTTTGTTATTACCATGATGGCATATATAAACTTTATTTCAATGATTTAGCTACTGTCCTGCTTCAATAGGTCTGAACTGTTTAATGTTACACTAAGGATATGACACATTCTGTTCAACAAATGCAAAGAATTGGCTAACAACAAGACATTTGATTAATTTGCAATCGGAAAATTCTCACACATCATCACCCCCCTATCAGCAGTCTTTCTCTGAAAGTATGCAAAACAATTTTTCCTCTTCCTCTTCAAAAGAAGGAAGCCCCCCCCCCCCTTCTCCTCCACGTCTAACTCTTTGCCAAAGTGCTGAGCCAGTGGAAAATCCAACGTCCGTTCAAGAAATGAAGTGGTGTAGAAAGATGGGTTGACCAGAGGAAGCAATATTCATACAGTGTGTCCTCGCTGATAAGTCAAATAATGTGAGATCTTCAGGTTCGTGTTTTCCACTTGCTGTGGCTCAAGAGGCACATGATTCTCCAATTGCACCACAGACATTTCCATCACACTCTAATGTTTATTTCAAATTTGTTTAGGAAATAACTGATAATCTCTCTGTAGCTCACGATTAATTTGTTTCCGTTCCCATTGGGTTTTCCATTGTTACTTGTGTAAATGTCTTAATCAGCTCACTGCAGCGTGCTATCTAAAACTGAGATAAGATGCAGAGTCCGCAACTAAGTTCCTCTCAGTTAGAACCGCAGACACGTTCATGCGGTGTCAGTTGCTAGACAGTTTTTCGGCTGAACCTGCAATTATTTGTCAAGCTATCTTGTCTTTTGGTGTGTGCCTACCCCAGTAATTAAAGTTCTATGTTGGGATGAACACACACACACATTCAGCACACACACACCACAGCGATCTTGTTTAATTCTCCAACACTTAAGCTTAACTTTTTATCCAGCCAATTATTTCTCTGTTAAAGCATGTTTTTGTTTTTAAACCTAAATGAATAATCTGTTTTGAGTGGATTTGATAAATGCAAAAGTTCACCTGAAGGCAACATCCTCTTTTTTGGGAGACTTTTGCCGTGAATCATCATTATGGCTTATTCAGACATCACGAAAAACACATTAGCATTCACACAGGCTAATGACACTTGACATTTACAGTAGTTCACAAGATGCTCCAAAGCATATGGTACATTTCCACTCAGAAACTGAGTAAACAGGAAGACTCAGACAACAGCTGTTGGCAAAAATGATTGTTCCCCCTAATTAAAAACTTGATAGCAATGCTTAATTTTTTGAGATTGCTGCTCTACACTCTTGGGCAGATAGGTCTTTTATAATTAATTTCCAGCAGTTCATAATGAACTCTGTGCCTTAATAAGTCAAAAATACTGCATACAGCCCACATATTGTTGTGTGGATACAGCCAAAGGATCCTGTGTGTCGGGCTTCACCATCTTGATCACTCTTGCGGTCCCAGCGTGTTTAAATGGATTGGAGCAGAGATTAAGTGGTTTCAACTGAACAAACAGGCTCTTATGAAACAAGGCAGAATACCAATGAATTGTCTATCATATTAAGATAAACAATGAACACCACAAACATCAGCCGCTGACAGGAAGGAAAATGTTGTCATGGCAAGTGGTTTATTTCTGCAACAAGAATACACCACAATAAGGTCACACAAGACAATCACTTCTAGATAAATGGATTAATAGCTTGGTGCATCAAATAAAAAATAAAAAGTGATGTCTTTTTCGGTTGAATAAGATGTATAGATGTTACATTTTCTGCCTTTTGTGCATGGGTTTACACACTGACTAATCCCTGCAGGGAAGAGCAACAGACTCATGAACAGCAAATAATAGACAGGGAAATACGTGCATCAGTGTCAAGTTGGAGGGAGATCTGCTTAAGTTTGGCCAACCACAAAAAATCCTGCCTATCAGGAAGCCACCACAACTACTGGCAGAGCACTGGAAACATTGCAGACATTCAAATAGGTCTCATCACTACTTCCTGTTTGCCAGTCCCAGCTCAGCTGAGGCTTGTTACTTTTGGATGAATTAGAAATGAATCCACATTGAAGTGCTGCCGTGCAACAGCTCCAGGTTGAGGTTTGACAGCAGGAGATTGACTGACAGCAGAACGTGTGGTAAGGGTGTGGAGCAGCACATGTGACCCTGGAGTGATTGCATCATCTCTCTGATGGCTGTTTTGCAGTCAAATTCCACTCTTCTCAATTTTTTCAACCACACCAAAAATGATACCATATTTCCAAATCTAGGGTTAAATGTGTAACATATTCTCTGTCAATTGAGGTTTGAAATGGGAGGACAGATGCAGACCTGTTGATTGATGCATCATATAAACGTTTATTTTTCCATCTGTGCAATTTGACGGATTGTTCCTCTTTCTGCTTTTAACTGAAGTAACCACGTTAAATCCCACACAAAGCAAAACACCTAAGTGTTGCACAATTCAATTTACGTACGTTTTTTTTGCTGCTTCTCTTCCTCTTTCTTTCCAAATCTTTTTTCTCCCCTTTGACGAACATCTGACTCGACAAGTTCTAAAACAACATTTTTATAATGTTAATTTGCACACAGTCATATATTGAACTCTCCCCCTGTTTACCAATCTAAAGAGGCAAATGATTCTGTGCAGTTAGAGCTGTTGTGTTAATGATAAATCCCATTATGTCAAGACAGCAAGTATATTACACTGAGGTTTGACCTCAACCACAGTTGTTTTCTGTTTATCATCTACCACCACTTGTGTCTTTTTTTTAACTACGGTCCAAAACGTGTCATAAACTCTAGGATAGAGCAATTTGTCTTAAGATAGTTTATTTCCCTGCTTTGGTTAAAGCAGAGTCAAGATGAAAAGGCTAATATGGTGGACATATTAAACATTCTTTACCTTGCACTTTTTTATTTATGTATTTAACCGGCTCCTGGGGCTAAGCAATTTAGACTGCTATACAACATACGTTGAGATTTTTCATACACAATAATTATGAAGCAGGTTATGTGATTTTGTCTGTCCAATATCAATATGCATACAAATCGTTATGGAAAAGGAAGGTGTATTTCTGCTTGCATTCTAATGCAATTCAGTTCATTGCATAACACTGACAGTTGGCCCCAGTTTTGGGAAGTCTGCTTGCCAAGTGTGTCTTTCCTTCTGAACAGGACTAAAGAATCGCAAAGAATACAGGCATTGAGTTTGCAGAAGAAGAAAAAAAAGCGCTACGTCATGGAAAGAATGACGTCAGGTTTGATTAGGCGCCGAGGGAAGAGCCTTGTGCAGCCAAGGTGGAGTTTAGGCAGGCAGCAGGCAGAAAGGATGCTGCAGTGAGGTTTCGGTGGGTACTTTTTACCGACTGCATCATATGATGGGGGGTGGGGGGGGGGGGACTGTTGAATAATCCTGTTATTATAAAGCGAGACGGGAGCAAAGAGGGAGTTTGAAGGGATCATGACGTAACCGTTTCCATAGGCGACTGATATGCTGTCTAAGCCAATGGGAATCCACACGAGCGGTCCATACCCATCCTCCTTTTGACGTGCATCACATGTCCCCGGCGGTGTTGTGACAGAAAGGAACCAGGCGAGGCGAGAGGATTCCCGTCAGTTCACTTCCGCCTTCGTCAAAATCTATGGCAGAGAGACGGGACCGAGTTATTTTGGCTGGTTTTCTGTCCAGCAGCAGCAGTGTGTCAAAATTGCTTATTACATTTAAGAGTATAACATAATAGATGGTAACTTTGGAAGATAAATACATTTCATAAAAGCAATAAACAAGGTAAGCGATTTTGCCTAGACTTGTGACATAATACTATTTTATGACTAAACAATGTATTTCTGCATTATTTAGATACACATGATTATTGACAGTTAACCGAAACCGTTATATAGCAAATAACTGTACGCAAGCGTTCCGGTCAAGTCGACGTGGGTTTTCCATGTGCTAAAACGGGTGGTTACTATCTTGACTGTTCAGTCTGGAAACTTTGGCTTGGTAGTGACAGCGCAGTGGGCGGGATTTTACCTCAGATCAGGGGAGAGAGTCTAGTCTTTGGTGAGACTGAGGGGGAGTTACAGAGAGAAAGGGACCTGGGGTGCTCTTCAGAGAACGGAGTGAGTATTTTTGGTTATATTCCTGTACTAGGGTGACAAAATACCGCAAGATAAAAGATACTCTCAGGTGTTAGAAATATTAGAAAAGCCTGACCGGTTAAGTCATTTTTTTGTGTGCAATGACCAACGAGGGCCAGCCACCGGTGGTGTAGCTGCCTTGGTTAGTTAGCCTTGTACCAAGCTAACATCGTTAGCCAGCGGTTATATCTTGGAGATATACTGACATTGGGCGTCTCGTTTTCCAATCCAGGTACATAATCACCTAGGTGGCGGCCAGATTTGTCTTTATTATTTCTAGGTTATTCAGACCTATGTATTGCTCTGAATTAAGTTTTTACGACTTATCGAATATTTTAGAAGTATCCTTTGCGTATTTCACTCCTTTGCAATCAGCACAAGCTAATGCCTGTGAGCTAGTTGGCTAACATTATACGCCAGCCTGTTTTTTTTTTTTTAAACGTTGGACTCCACGCCACGGTTTGTCGTGGACAGCAGATTGACAGTTGGCCATTGAGGCTCATCATTTATAGACTGCAACTCAAAATGTGGACTCGTCTACTGTTACGAGGAGGCATTTCATTCTAAGCCAGAGTTTACAATGGGGTGCGTTTTAATGCAGGTCTTTCAGTCTATTTAACGTGATATGAACCCCCTTTAACAGGCAGGAAGATAATGCCATTGAGATAACGTCAGTAGGGTTAAAGATGTGAACCGACCAGTAACGGTCAATTTGGGGAGATATTGAGGCAGAGGCACCGTGTGGGCACGTTTTGGGTCATTTTTTCAGCTCACTGTCACAGGATATTGCATACAGCAAATGTCTAATTTGAAGGAAAATGTCTAACGTCGTGTCGAATATCAAAGATATGTCGAATTTTGTTTCCTCTTGGGTATGTCATATCTCTTACCTTATCTATAATGTCACCGAACAAGCATAATGTCATAGTAGGAACATGCCCTTTCACAAGTGCAAGCTATAACGCTATTTAAAGAAGAAAAAAGACGTTCACTTGCACGGCAACTGCAATTCTTCCAAACCTTGAACGCAGCATGTCGCTTTAAATTACCATGTCCAGTTACCTTTTATAACGGTAATGTGTCTCGTATTCCCCACGTTTTCCATGTACTGCAGGTTTATTACGTATATTGACGTTACATTATTGACCTTTTTTTTAATGGGCAATGTAACATCGTTTTCACACTCCTGCACGTTTTCTAGTTGATGTGTAGCGCAGCCACTGAGCACCTTGTGGTGTATAGTTGAAGGGATCACTCCTTATCCAATTAAATAGCACCCGCTTTGCTGCAGCGCCAGCAGTCTTCCTGTGCTCGTGTAATGACTTGTGAGCCATGGAAAATAGTGTTGTAGTTTTTATCAAAATGCATTTGGACACATAATGTATTGTGAGCTGGAAATGAATGAGACAAGGTGTTCCAGTAACTGTAGTTGTCATAGACCTATTACATAATGTCAGGCAAGCTTTTACATAGCCAAGCTGTATTGTCAGAATGCCTTGTTGGAAATAATTGCTTGGTCTAATGTCATTTGGCGGCATTTATTTTCATTTTGGAAAATTAATATGTTGTCTCCTTTTTAAATTCTACAACATTAGAAAAATATTATCCAGGTTAAGCAATGAGTTATATTTGATTAAAACTGTCTAGCTCAGCATATAGCGATTGAAGATTTCGTTCAATGATTCACTTAAACCATCAGCAACCCAATATGTCGCTGTGTCTGAGCCCTTTGAACTCAGACTGTTGCTGTCACTCAAGAATGCCAAAAATATCCTTTCTTACGCCTTGATATACCATGCTTTTTCATAATGGCTGACTGCTGAGTGTACTGCTCGCACTGAATGATATGAGGCAGAATTGTTAGACTTAATTGGAAAACTGTATCTCAAAGGCAAGATCAGTTTAACCTCCTGGTTACGTTTGATAGTGTTTCCCTTACTTACATTTCCACCTGCTCATAAAGGTTAATTAGCCATGCTGGAGAGTATGAGATTTCTACTAATCTTACATTGTAGTTAGCTTCTAAAATGTGTGCTGTTGGCTTCTCTTGGCACAGGAGGTTTGAGTAATCACACAGCAATATTCACTGCGAAGTAATGCAGCACTTTGCTTCCAGGCAGTTCTCGCCTGACAAGTCTGTCCCTAACTCATCACGGATGAGTCTCCCTTTCAGCTGCTTGATATGTCTACTGAATTTATTGTCATGCTCTGCACTTCCTTCAATTACAAGCCTAAACAAATGAACTAATATTCAACAGCAACCATTCCTAACACTTGTCTTTTGCAACATTTGTCTCAGCCTTGTATAAATAATTATTATTGTTGAAAACAAGCCACTACGTCTCTAATCTGAGGTGACATTGACATGGTAAGCTTAATTTAGTCTTTTCTTTTTTTTACTAAGTAAAAGTTAAACGTATTTATGGTAGTATTTGCTTATGATGAACTTTTGCTTATCTTTTTTCTCTGTGTGGATTGTGAGTCCAAGGTTATTCCAGGCAGAGGTTTAAAGTAACATGGAGTTTGAATCATTCATTACTACTTATTCATTCAAATATGGCTTTAAAAAGCAGTGAAAACTGTCTACACTGGTGTCTGACTAAAATGAATGTGCAAACTAATTGAAAAACTCTGATACAGTATCCTAAAACAATTATAAGGCACACACTGCAACATATCATTAATTAGTCATCAAGGCAGCTTGAAGGTCTAACTATGCCTAAATGTAATAACTATGCTTGGACTCAGTCTCTCGGACATCTATGTTAGTTTCGAGCTTAGCTTCATGGTTTGACATGCATGATGCCACTAATCATAGTTGTTATCATTTGTAGGTAGAATGGAAGATGTAGCTGTCCTATTAGTGTCAACTCTATACATGTGAAAACAACTTATTGTTGATTGGTATTAAAGTGTCCTCATTGACATATACAAATCCACATTACCAATGCTGTTGGACTTCTGAAACAGTGCTAACAGGCACAAGTGCACAAATGGGGATTAATGGCTATCATTAGGGGTGTGAATCACACATATTTATCACAATACAATATTCAATTATTCTTTCGACAAAAGTACAATGTTTACTGATATCACAAAGTCGGCCATGATGTGATTATGATACGATCTCATTCAGGGGCCTGCAGTCGATATAAGACCGTATCATATGCCCTTTTGACACATAAAAATGTATGATGAGCAAAGAAAATTAGATTTGACAATGTAATAACTAGCCTAGATATTTAAATAATACATTATAAATCTTACTTGGTCAAGTGACCTAGTCCTAGAGTGTGAATGAAGAGAGTTAGCGCAGTTAAATAAAGTAGTAAATCTCCACAACCCTGCTGGATGGTGCCGTATTTTGAATGAATTCAGCCAAAAGAGCACGCTTCTTTCTCTTGTGGCCTGTCTGCTCTTTGTGTGTGTGACCCGGGCTGCACACCCTGTCTATTGGCTGAGGGTTACACACCCATGTGGGGCCCAAAGGCTTTTTGTTGATGCCCAGAAATGTCCCCATCACAGCAAAATAACAAGAAAAGAGAAAATACAGGTAGAAGGCTGCAGGGTTTCTGCAGATACACATGCCACCACCACACACTTCTAGTGGGTCATTGAGAGGAATAATGAGTTTTTAGGCATATTATACCTTTTAATGTCTTCATTGATTGGCACCAAGTAACAACAATCCTGTTCTAAAAAGGTCTATCTGATCTTTGAGATATTAGCTTTCTTGTATTCGGAGCACATTACTCAAGCATCTTTAGGAAAATCCAGCTGCAGATTTTTGTGTTGGACTGTATGGGGACCGTCGCAGGGGATAAATTGTTCTCTGCATCGACCTAGCCCTCTTTGGCTTTCAGAGTTCATTTACTTCTACGGCAGCCTGTAATATCATTGTGTTCATATATGTTTGTCTAGCACAAATTGCATTCCCTTCCCCAGGTCCTGGTGAAATGACTTTAACGCTCCACTCTACTGCGTCCTGAAATTGTAATGGTAAAGACAGCAAGGTCAGACTGTGGCAGCAAATGGCAAAGCGGCAGGACCTCAGGCCATTGAGCTGCTGTGTACAACCACATATAACAAAGAACACACAGAGCCTCTCATCTTCAAAGTGGCTCAATGAAAGGTGCTTCATTTTGGAATATTTTCCATCCTTTGGAGGGGAACGCCTACGACAAAATAAAACCATTCCTTCTGGTTTCTTTCCTCTAAAGGAAAAATATTCTAATATTTTACAGTCACATTTTCAAGATGACTACAATATTGCCAATGCTAAAGCTTGTAATGGTACTCAAAATGATTTAAGGTACATTTGGTCCTACAAAAAAAACCATGTTCTTTTTAATGGTGTGAAAGAAGTATGTCTGTCATTAATCACAGTTTTTAATAACAGGGTAGTCTTCCAGAACTCTATTCAGGGCTTTTAAATTGTTGTTCACCTCTACCAATTTACACAGGCATCGTCTCAATGAGCAAGTGAAGGAACACTATACACTTTGTGACATCTTACATGCTGTGATGTGGTTTTAAAACACTAAGTGGTTCATATTTGCCAGCTTTCACATCAGGGTTTTGTATAACACCTTATAGAAGAGACTCAGTCACCTTCATTCAAGTGTGCAGGGATTGAATAAGGTCTTGATTTGATCTTGTTTTGACAGACCCCTTTCATGGAGTTTTCTTCCCAGCGTCATTATGAGCACTCTGGAGCAACCTGTTCTTCTCCATGTTTCTAAATGACATGTGGTGGACCAAACATATAGTATTTATTTATTTCCTGTTATGATGTAAGGAGACAAAATCCTGCCCCAGTTTCAGACTAGCATATGTGTCACCTGCATGGTTTTAGTGATGTGTTTAAAACAGAAAAGAAAATCAATAATTGGTAATAATTGTGCCTTTATATGTAAAGGAAAAAGATTATGGTTAATTATTATTTTCGATGACATACATACAGTAAGAAGGGCTGAAGTGTGTTGATGGTGACACCTCTACATCTGACAGTGTTTGAGGGCCATGTAGAGGGTCCAATCTGTAGACTGAAGTAGCGTTCTCATCTGCGAGCCATGTAGCACAAGGAGGGCTGGATGTCTCTGCTTTGTACCCTCCACATTTACATGGCCTGACCCAGTTCAGTAACGGCTAGCAGTAGGGGGAGGGGGCAGTCTGGGCAAGGCTAAAAATACCACCCCTCGCATTAGGCAGCTCCATTGCAGAGGGATCCCTAGAATTGCAATCCTCGACTTGCATCGAGTTTTTGGCACATAGAGGTGCACAAACTGCCAGAGGGTTTCCTTAGCGTGGAAACAAAGTATATTTCTTAGATTCCCACCACAGTTGTCCGATGCACTTGTTTGCACTTGCCATAGCCTTCTGGGCGGAGGATCTAGTGTGCATCTAATGTGCGATATCGCAGCTGTAAATAGCCTGGGTGGAGAACAGACTTGTCTTTCAAGACTCTGAAACCCCTCTGTATTCATGCTGAACTGTGGTTTTTCTGCCGTGGTGTGGAAAGGGTTAACCTTAGACTCTGTCATTCAACCATACCATGCCAGCTGTTGGCTTGGAGATCCAATCACAATGATTTTCCACTGTTGTGACATGTGACCTGCTCCGCAACCCGAAACTGTCGCAGCGCAGCAAATGTTGGCACTTCTTTCATCTCGGCGTTGTTGCTGCTCGCGGGGTTAGGGGGTGTGAATGTGCGAGAGGACTCATGCAGTTTAACATGAAGACAGAGAAATGGAGAATGCAGGGAATTGCATTCATTGCCATAGGCTGCACAAGTGTTACCCAAGCAAGTAAAAATATTCCTACTATGTTAAGATGAGTCGTTCAGAGACCATTTGCACTCTTAAAAAAACACATTGCACGTTATTGCAAGATGACATGCAGATTAGTCCTGACCCCTGACATTCACTTTTCCTTTTGTTGTAATTAGTGAAAAGGACTACTGTTAGGCTAAAAGAGCTCAAAGGCTTGGTAACAAAACAACTCTTGTTCTCAGATGTGAAAGGGTGTTAGGATGTGTAAACAGTGAATTAGCAAAACGCCAAATTCACTACACGAGGGCAAGTCATTGTTTCCAAATTCATTATTCAGTATCATATTCTAAAATTACAATAACAGTAGCATTAACCATTAACACGCTATTGTAATTCCCTGGCATATCTGTCTAATCCCCAAGAAATACCTTTTTATATCAGAACAGTGTAAAAAATAAATAATATATGACGTAGATGTCAATTTATAAGGCAAGATGTCAACATGCGTTGAAGACCACTATCGGTACAAAAGTATTTTATTTTCAAAATGAAGATTTCTACGATCTCTCCCACCTCAGTAATGCACCCGGCCCTGCAATTATGCTGAGTAATAAATAATAAATTCTGTCCTGTTTTCCATGGCAGATGGCTCCAAATAGAATCTCAACATGTGACAGAATAGTTTCCAAGAATCTCAATGGAATAAGCTGCAAGCATTCATTTGTTCAGTGAGCAATAATAAAGGCTACATTTTCTCTCGTGCTGCATCTTTGCTCCCGTTCTGGCATATTTGGGGTTAGGGAAGTTATTTTGGAGTTTTATGTTTAAATCCTGTTTGACTTAAAGGCAGATAAAAGGGGTTCTCTGAAACATGTTTTGGTCGATGTTGTACCTATAATTGAAGAATAAAAAAAAAAAACCTCCCCTGCTGAAATAACTGCTGCGTATTTTGAAGACAATGAAAAACGTTGTACACTGTTTCTTTCAAATTATAAATCAAGATCATGTTTTTAAATCTTTGAATACTACTTTGGAAAAACATATGCGATTATTTTTGACTGATATTGCAGTAGCAATATAATTTGTACTATTAGAGGTAATGATCATTTTTGAAACATTATCCACATTTTCATTGAAAATGTTCTCTTTTTTTGGGGCATAAAACTAGGATTCTTTTAATTAAGTCTATAGAATACCGTTTGTAGGCCGGGACTTTTCTTCAGCACCACAATACTTGCACAATACTATTCAGATATTTACATATCTTTTCTTTGCGCTTATTGCAATTTGGATATTGCCATAGCCCATATTGCGATCTCGAAACCATTTTGATTTATATTGCAGTCGTAGCTGTATGTTTGAAGTTCTGTTTCCTTGCTGCGCCAAGACAAATTCCTATCACCTTGTTGGACATGAATGAATCAGCCTCATTGTGTGAGGCTGATTAAAGCTGAATGGACAGCCGCCTCTCATTAGAATGGACTCTCCCATGTACAGCAGCATGGAGCTCCCTGATGCCACAGATAGTCCTAATTAGATGAAACAGAAGGCTTGTCCTGAGGTAATCACTGCTCACTACGTTACCCCACCAGTTACACTGCAGGGGGGCAGGTAGCTCTGGATTATTTATTTGTTCAATGTCAGACGGACTGGGTGTTGTTTGACATGGCTGGGTGCTGTGATACAATCTTCTGGGTAATTATTGAAAGGATTTGACTGTAAGGCTTCACCTAACTGGGGGTACTAGAGGAGGAGATTGCTGTTTTTTATTACGCAGAAGGGCCATGTAGAGTTATCGTAATTTTGTACTCGGTATTTAAAAGTAAGTTGACTATGATCTCTCTCACTTTCTCATAGTTGTGAGAGTGAGAAAGAAGTTTGGAAAACATTATAAATACAATATATAAACAACACATGCAAACCTAACAGTAAAAGAATAAAGTTGGTGAGAAGCTTATAAATTACAATATATATGTTTTTTGAACTGCACCCAGAATTAAGTTAGTTTCAATTCCATTTCAGCATGTGTGTAATTTGTCCCTATTTACCTCAGTATTATTTACTGCCCCTACATTATGTCAGTCAAATAATTAGGTGTCCTTTTAGACAGACACAGGGTGTTAAAAAGTAGATCATAAGTGAGTCAATTGAAATCCAACAAAGACCAGAAACAAGTGAAATGCCGCTTCTGAAGCCCCTTTAATGTGAAAGACAGCTGCAAGAAGTGTTGAATTTGTATTAACAGTAGGTACGGTAGGTTTCGGTCCTTGATTTTGCTTCGTTGAGAGGGTAAATAAGTCCCATGACAATTTCACTTGGAGAAAAATGTTGTTTCCAAACACTGCTACTGTGCTCGCTCCATTTCCAGCCACGCCCCCGTCTAACAGTACAGAAAGCGGTGAGATGCATCTCCTTAGGAATCAATAATCCGAATCGGAACCGGATTTCGGTACCCACCCCCACCCCTAATGCTAATCCTCCTCTCAGCTCACATACTGAAAGCAGAGTGCACATTACTTGACATGAGTTTTGTCCAGATGACAAAAATGATTATTACAACTCAAGCACAGCTAATCAAAATCTCTTGGCGATAGCTACAGGCAGTTTTGCCATTTACTTTGCCCCTTGTCTCAGCGATCAAGTGGTTTTGTCTAAGGGTTTCAATGTTTGCTCTTACGCAGCAATACAATGCTTTGAGTGTCTCCTGTACTGGTGTACTGCAGCCATGTGATGACAGCAAGTGTAAAAAACAGATATGGTAACATACATATCATTTTGATCATGCTACATTAAAAATAGGTCACTAAAGAAAATACAACAATAATATCCTCATTGAGGTAATAATAGTCATATGTTGATAACAAGAGTGAAACTACATTAAAATGTGTGACGATATGACTGAATAACAAATCCAACATTGCTGGCATGCTTACTTAGTTTACTCTGTAATGATAATGACAGTGTCATAAAACATGATAATGTTCCTAAACATTTTGTGCAAATATGTCACTTGTCAGTGCGATATTAATAAATGTATGTGGATCCCTGCTGTACATGTGAAAAAACACCCGGTAGTGTTACTTATCTTTTATTATCTTTGCTCTTCTCTTTTCAGATCTGCATGCATGGTGATCATCTCCTCTGTGGGTGATCCAGTCACCATGAGAGACTAGGAACTCAGCTCTCCTAGGGAAATGGCTTGTTTTGTAATATCCCTGCCCTGCCTGCCGTATGACTCCAGCTGCCTCTGAAGGTCCCGTCAGCTGTTTATGGGAACTACCACTGTGTTCGCTCCCTTGAGGATTTAAGCTTTTCCAGGACAACACTTTCTTTTTTTTCCACCCCTAACGTCGAGCCGGGGCAGCAACGCTTTGCAACAGAGTGAGGAGGCGGCGAGACAATGGCGAACAACTCGTACAGCGGCGTGAAGAACTCCATGGTGGAGGCCAACCACGATGGAGAGTTTGGCTGCTCGCTCAAAGACCTGCGCGCCCTCATGGAACTGAGAGGCGCAGAGGCCATAGGCAAAATTGAGGAATCTTATGAGGATGTTCAAGGACTCTGCAACCGGTTAAAAACATCACCTATAGATGGTAGAGTAATGTTTCCACTACATTCAACATAATTACATTTAATTAGATTAAATACAATATGTTTTCTCAACAGTGCTAGTAGATTGTTGCTGTTGGAATGCTAATGTGGTGTACACATAGTTTAGTTGGTGTGTCATTGGCCATATCATCCACATTGGGGATGACTTGACATCACTTCCTTGGAAAACTTATATGCCAGACAGGTGGCTGTGCCGGCTGGCTCTGACCTGGGCCAGTCCTGCTCTATTTCAAGGCCTGTGGATATGTCCCTCACACCCTCCCTCTCTCCCTTTTCACCTCTGTGTCTGTGCGTGTGTGTCTGGGTGTCTCTGTATGCTTCAGACAGAGCAGCTGTCTGCCTGGGCTCAGCACCAGGCTGCAGGTACATGTGGCGGACAAAATGGGAGGCTTTAAGGCCGGGTAGTAATGACTTGAACGTGGTAGGGAAGGAGTGAGTTTATCTAATGAATGTCTCTTCTGTGTAACTTGTGTATTTCGTCTTCATCAGGACCCCAATGGTGGTTGAAAGCTCCTTTGCCCCTTTTCTCTCAGTTTGTCTCTATAGAGCGGCCGCCTAATCGCCAGTATGACCTTGACTGAACTCTTATGGGAGGGGATTTTCAGTTTGATCCCAGATTAAAGCGGCACCGCATATTCACTGTAGCAGAAACAGTGCTCTGTTGCAGTGTCTCACAGCAAGCAAAGAATGTCCTGGGCATCAACAGCCCAAAAGGAAAGCAATACATTCCATGCTATAATGCATTTCTCAATCAAGAATCGCTACCTCACTATTTCATTCTTGACCTTTCATTTATTGTCAAAATGGTGTAAAGCCACACCATGCTTTCGCCGCTTTCATTGTCTGTTATCCAGGCCAGTAGGCCATTGTACGAGCTGAGCAGAAATAGCTGAATAGGAATTTGCCTGTTAGGAGAGAATGAGTTGTTCAAACATGCATTTGGCTTTGTCAAGCTGGAGAAGGAGAGTCCTGTCATATTTGTAGCATGCCTGACAGTAGTTGTTTCATTAAGTGTGAGTGTACCGCCCCCGCTTCTATCTAATCTATGCTGTAAAAAATCAAAGGGGTTAGTCAAGTCCCATTTTAGCTTTTTCAGCATTTTCAAGCAAAAAAAGAACAAGGTATTGGTTCTTCTTCTGTAGGTGGCACCTGTGTAGGTAAAATAACAGAATACCGTAAGCATGTTTGGAATATTAAACTACTTTCAACTTCTGCCTTCCCAGTACTATCACCAGTCTGTATTCACCATCATCAAACATGTTCTTACATATTTTATTGAGAGAATATAATATTATTTCTAGGTTGCAAGTGAAAAAGGCCATCTTTTCATAAAACGGCTTAATACTTTACGAAGAAAAAGCAGCTTTTAGACATTTTTAAATGAACTATTTTACTTCTGTTGTGATTTGCAACTGCACTCTACTGATTGAATTGGTCCACATTTAGTTTCCCTTCGCAGCAGGAGCTGTTTCAGTTGGCACGCAGCCACTGAGTTTTGCCACTTGCCTACAATCAGCTCATTCGTCATAGGATTGAGAAATTAAGCCATCATTTAAGATTACAGCAGCTTGACAATTGAAAAGGGATTTCTAATTAGTTGGTTGGTCCTTTTTTCAAACCTCTTAAGCCAATCCTTTGCTAATCCCCCACATTTCCAAGCTCTTTTTTTCACCAAAGAAGTTTGACAGAAGTTCTCTGTTGCAGCTGTACCAATCTACTTTGACTAGTTTTCAGCGTGGTCTTCTTGTTGGATTTGGCTTGATGTTATGAGACTGAGTAATATCTAACATCTGCCAGTTCTCTCAGATTGAAATCCACTGGGCTGTGATTTAAATAGATTTAACGTACCAATTCTCAGAGTTTGAAAGAAATGTATTAAACCCACTGTTCCACGCATTCAAAATTATGATCATGAAAACTGCCAAAAGCTTTTTCTTTTATAATCAACTTTAAGTTTTTAACATATCTCTTCTTAACTTTTATAGTATGCTGTCCTTCTCAAACAAACCCTGTTTCTACGTGGGGAAGAGCCCCTTGTATGCTGGAAATACCAAAATGCTGTTGCCGGGGCCTTATTTACTTTCGCGTTACTTCCTGTATGCATGCAGGCTTTTTTTTTCTTGTGCTTACTCTGGTTGAGTAAGGAACTGTGAGGAAATAAGTACCTTTTTAAGTTTCAGCTTACCGCCCCTGTTAATCTCTCTTTTCAGCTGTGTAGTCGGTTATATAAATATTAGTAACATTTAAAGGGGAACTCGTCCGTGCTTTTACACCAAAATCAGTCATAGGGAGTACTACTCATCTTGTGAAAACGGTTGTATAACGTTCTCTTTCGCTCTTGTAGGATGCTTTGTCAAGCCTGCGAAAATAAATCGAGTGATGTGTCACCAGAGTTACCTTGGCTTGGGTTTAGAGATGACGCATTTGAACTGGAAGCCTGCATTACTGTACGTACTCGGTGCATTTAGTTGAAAAGACATGGATGCTCTACTAGGCAGGGATGGTCAAATGAAAAGGGCTCTCGCATTATGGAAGTGTAGGATCTATGTTTATGCTGCTTTTTTTTTTTACTATAACCCCATTTACAAAAAAAGGAGGTAGGCAGAGCTGAGGGACTTTTTTTTACATCAAGCGAAGCTATGTAGCTGTATGGCTTCTACTTATGTTTCAAGATCTTTCTTGATGATTCAGGAGATCTGAGCCTTTGCCACATCATTTGTGACCACTCATTTTTTAAATGTGTCCCTCTTGAGCACTAGGCTATTTGTAGGAGCAATACTAAATCACTGGAGAATTTTTATAATAACATTCCCATCCTTTTAATACAGTGTCTCAGCATTGAATTGAACAGATCAGTATCATAGTATTTTATAATATATATATATATATATATATATATANNNNTTTTGTTCAGATATATCACATATTTGTAACTAAATGATACATGCATTGAAACAAAACACAGTTTAAACTGAGGAGTGACTCTCGTGAGTTTCATTTATTTTCTTCACTCCGCTGGGGTACTGCTCCGCTGGGGTACTGCTCTCATGTCAAGAACAAGAAGTCCAATCAGTGAGCGATACACAGTAAGGGGGCGGGGCGAGTATCTGAGGATTTCATCGGAGGATGGACTGGTGGTTCCTCGATTATCGCTCCTCCATTTTCGCTCCTCGCTCCTCGATCCTCGGTCCTCCTGCAGAAATAAGAGCCATGGGACGGTACTCAAGATGGCGCAGACAAATCAACTTCCGGTGAGACCGAGGAGCGAGGAAATGAAAATAGTCGACCTGAGACAGGGACACAGAGACGGCTCAAAGAGCTTCTTTCCTTTTAACCCTTCACATTCAAACAGAAACTGAACAGGCAGATTCGTAGGATTTATTTCTTTGGAAATGTTATTTTAAATACAATTAAATCAAGTTATTTTGGTAAAACTAATGAAAAATATATATATAAAAAAAATATTAAAAAAAAATATATATATTTTTTAATGTTTTTAAATGTTATTTTGTAGAATATCTTAAGCCATCAAAGAGGCCTAGGGGGCCCTGACGGCTCACCACTGCCATAGAATCAATAGCTTCAGCAAACCCTTCTAACACAGCAGCATTTATTTTCTCCCAATGGGATCCACTATTTCCTCTGCATAATGAGACTTATCAAATAGACCAGGCCACTTCACATCAATATTATTGACAATGTTCCCCAATTTTCTCTTTCACCATTATTCCCTGTTGACTGCTATTTAAACGTGGTCAAATATTTGGGTTCCAGCCTATTGATCAAATCGATTGTGGGCTGAGAGGCTTGCACAATTGGATTGCAAGTCACAAAAGGGGACAAGCTCTCTTTATCTACCATCCATACACCACACCCCCTTATTCAATGGGAAGGTTTAAACTTTAGACTGTTAAATGATAATGTTTACTCTACAGCGGGCTGGCGTTGCTTGCCTTCATGTCCGATTTTAAAATGATGCGCTTAAATAGGCTTTAGCCAGAGAGTGAATGTAGCATATGGCTAGGCCCTGCTTCTGTTGGTGGAGCTGTTCACTGGGTGCTGATCTAGCTGTAATCTTTGGATTGAAAGCTGTGATTTGTGGGAACCATAAAGCATTTTTCCTGTATTGAGTTATTAACAATGGTAACGGGTCTCCTAGATTGCGGCAATTCATTTTGGTTTTGGTGATTTTTAGAACCTACGGCTGCGAAGTACTGTACTAATTACATTAAAACCTCATGTGTATTCTTCCCCTTTCAGGTATAAATGATGGTACTATACGGTACATACAAGTCAGATATTAGTTGTTTTATAGATGCTCTGCCATGGTCCTTAGTCTAGCCTGCTTCTCCAATATAGCTTTCCAGGTAGAGCATTTTCTTATTCAGTGGTCTTTACAGAATTCCCCTGTGGCATGATATTGATTTGAAGAGTATGAAATGGCATAGTGATAAAAATCCATGGCTATATTTGGTGGGGAAATGACCGTGCTATAGTAATTAGGGTGCTGCACTATTGCTCCATTTGTTGAGCAAAGCCCTGCTTATTAGCTTAGAATCTGCTTATCTGCAACTACACACAAACTGCCCTAATCACCTATAAATGGGAAAGCAGTATTGAGAAGTAATTAAGGGTAGCTAATGAAGGTAAAACATATTTGATAGAATCCAAGTCGTTTTCAAATATAGCAGCAACATTGGGAGATTACCCCTATTGTGACCCTTTAGTATTTGAGTAAACTCAATTGTCTCTTGGTGCTACACAGTTTTGTTGTTTCACTTGGTAAACGAAAGATTTAAAAATAAAAAGCGCTTTTTCCTCTATCAGTTCTTCCTTCTTGGTAACTTTTGTGTAAAGCCGTATACTCTAGTTTTTACACGATAAAAGCAATTTTATAACTTGAGTAGCCGTTATGGAAATCCCATAATCCAATAATCCTTACACTCTGATTAGCTTAATATCATATTAACATAACCAGAGATCTCCCCATGCTGCTTTTTTTGTTATAGAAAGCAGGGTATTCTGTGCATGAAATGAAATATCGTCTTCGATTTAAGAGTGCTATTTATTATTTGTGATTTCTGATTGTACTAACTAGAGGGTGTGTTGCTGCATCTCTGCATACTCACAGTTCCACAAAGGTTGTTGAAAGCCTGTTTCCTTCGATCGTGACGGACCCAGAGTGAAGGCTTGCCCTGACCCTCACTGCTGGCTGAATGGACAGAACTCAGAGGGGTCAGCCAGGGACAAGCGTCCAAATTAAATGGTTAATGATTAGCTGCTTGACTTGAGACACACTCAGGGTGCTGAAATTATGTGAGGGGCCAGGGCCAGCCTATTTTCTGTTTGTGTATCCAATGGAAGGACGACGTGTTGATCGTCCTCTGTCACTTGTGTTTATTGCTATCATGCAAAGGGAAATTGTGCTGTAAAATTGAATAGGGTATTAGCTGTCAGCATGTTTTCATTAGAGGTGTAGAGAATCAAAGCAGACGGTGAGAGACAGCCAGGGAGCAGCGACAGGATAAACCCTGTAACCCTTTTTAAAGCGTTGTGCCGGTGAGTCATCCTCACTCTTCTCACCCCCCTTTTTAGAAAAATATGCGATAGTTTGAAATTGTAATGACAATTACTTAAGGATTTATTTTTCTTTGATTAAGTACACCAAAACTCGTTTTAATTCAGAAATAGGTAAAGAAATATAATATTTGTAATTGAACTAGATCTGTATACATGATCGTAGACAACATGCACCAGTCTGGTTAATTGATGGAAATTATTTAACTGTGATAATTGTTTTAGGGACATTTTCATATGATTTTGATTGGTAACAAAATGTCTGTACTTTACCATTATTGATTAGCATCCAATTAGACTGGTCAATATAATGAGCTATTTAATTGAAAAGTGGTAACCAACAAAACCATTTTGTATGACAGGATTTAACACTGATTTAACAACCTACCATATCATCCCTAAAATGAACTCTCTCTTACTGCAGTGGCTGTGTTTGAACAGCACTTGATTGGGATGGGAAATGTTATTTAGTTAAAACATGTGTTTGACTTTACAGTGCCTAAAAGAGAGAAGTGGAACAAAAGATGAAGTTGATTGCCATTTCTTTAGAATATCAGAAAACCCCACAGATTATGGGTTATAATAATATTTAGTTAATTGATGTTTTTCCAGTGCTCTTATATTTCACAAGAAAGAACAATCAGCACATTGTGTAGATATGTTATTACGCTGCAGGAACAATACAAATTACAGGTTGTTTGATAAATGAACACATTCTACTAATGATTTAATGAAGCTGTTTTAGACCTGTCTTTCTCAGCGCAGTCTAGCAACTAACATTAACACTTATTTTCATTATTCGTGAATCTGCTGTGTTGCCTTCAATATGTCAGAAGAGAGTCAAAAAAGGCTATTAGAATTTCATAATGCCAAAGCAAATGCATTCATGTTGCTTTATATTCACCAAGAGGAACTAGAATTATTATTATATTATTGCTTGAAAAATGTCACATTTTTCAGTTCTTCAACTCTCTACTTCAGTTTCCACCATCAGTGGTATATTTTGACAGCATTTGTAATGGAGAATTGTCTTATTGGCTGACACACAGTGTGCCTTTCTCTCTGAGCTGTTGCCACGGCACAGACTCATTATCCAAATGTGGTGTCGTGGTTTGCATTGTTCCTCTAGCCTGTTTGTATCCGTCCTTCTATCTAACTGTCTGTCCGTTTCTCCATATGTTGACCCATCCTTTTTCCTATTAAGACCAGTGCAGCTTCCCTCTATCTGTCAATACCTCCACTCTTTATTAGTCTCAGTCCCTATCACCTCCACTCATCCCCATTTTCCTGTCAGTAGCTGTTTCACACTGTCACTCTTCCATGGTCCACAATCCTCCGGCACACACAGCTCCATAAAGTCTCCAGAGCCACCCCCACACAGTCAGTCCGCACAGCATGAATAGAACTGAAAATGTGTCGTGCATCATCAAATGTGAGAAGGCCCTTTTTGAATATACAACTCGGCCTTGAATGTGGAGGCATTTGAATGCGGGGCTCTCTGTGCACACAGATGAATGGTTCTCAGGCCAAGCAGCGTGTGATGTGTCAGAGAGATGACTATAACGGCACAGCAGGTCATACTCTCCAGTCAGTCGTTCATTGTATTTCAAAACAGGTTATGGGATTAGATTTGACCTCTATTGTTCTCCCATTGTTCTAACATGCCTGAAAGAGGTGAAATGTTAGACATGCCCACAGAATGTGTCATTGTTGTCGAGCATTGTCGCCTCCTCTGTGTCCGGTCTAAATGCTGATTCCTTTTTAGGGATAATGTTTTTAGAGGCCCAGTGAAAAGAGTACAGCTTACTGGCTTTTACGTTATCTCCTCCTCTGAACTAAACGTCCACAGTAATGCATCCACAGCACATGATTAATGCTCTTTTTGATGTTTTAAGTCTTACATTACATTCCAAGAAACATTTCAAATGATAATACAACAAATGAAATGCTTTTGTTCTGTGTCTCTCCCTCCTCAGGTCTAAGTGGACAGCCTGGAGACATCGAGAAGCGGAAAACAGTGTTTGGGGAAAATTTGATACCGCCCAAAAAGCCCAAAACTTTCTTACAGTTAGTGTGGGAGGCGCTACAGGATGTCACACTGATTATTCTAGAAGTGGCAGCCATAGTTTCACTAGGCCTTTCTTTTTATAGACCTCCAGATGCCGATAGAGAAAGTAAGCAGCACTTCTTTACAGTTTCCATTTATTTTATTAATCCGTGCTCATGTACTGTTATGTACAAGTATATATGGTGTATGTTAAACAAATATTTGTCTGTCATTAATTTAACTAGGAATTTTTATAATTGTAAAATCTAATAAAAATGCCCTCTATCCTTAGTGCTTCACATTTCATAAATGTGTCTCGGTTTGTGCATTCCTTTGTGTCTGAGTGATAGGATGATGTGATAAACTGTGTGGATTTATCTGAAAGTTGTAAGTGAAGCTATATTAACATTTCCCCTGTCCCTCTGCAGACTGTGGAAGGGCAGCTGGCGGTGTGGAGGATGAAACTGAGTCAGAAGCGGGGTGGATCGAGGGCGCCGCCATTCTTCTGTCTGTTATCTGTGTGGTGCTGGTGACAGCCTTCAATGACTGGAGTAAAGAGAAGCAGTTTAGGGGCCTCCAGAGCCGCATCGAGCAGGAACAGAAATTTACTGTCGTCCGTGGAGGACAAGTCATCCAAATTCCTGTGGCTGAGATCGTGGTCGGCGACGTTGCACAAATAAAATATGGTAAGAAGAGATAATGGTTTGTTATGGAACTTATTTAATTTAACAAACATGTTGCATAGATAATACTCAGAATGAATACCATATAATCAAAGATTTATTCAATAAAACAATTGCAAATTTCAGATTTGTTTGTAAACTATTGTTCCTCAAAGTGAAAGATGCGTTTTGTCTGTGTGTGTTTCAGGTGATCTTTTGCCTTCTGACGGGGTTCTCATCCAAGGCAATGATCTGAAGATCGATGAGAGCTCCCTCACAGGGGAGTCGGACCTTGTCAAGAAAACACTAGAAAAAGATCCCATGCTGTTATCAGGTAACATGCGGCCGGAGCTTTATTTAGATTTATTTTATTTGGAAATTGAAATGAAGACATCTGCGAAACTGACTGAGCGTAGTTGGTTTCAATAATACAATACACATCATCTTTAAAGTCTGGCTATGTGTGACTCCAATCAGAATTCCTTTATATGTGCTACCGAGGCAAAACATTTACAATTACAGTCTTTATTTAGTTAAATGATAGATATTCTTTTTAATCATTTTCACCATGTTTTTATAATCGTATCTGCTATCCTCATGTTGTCATTAAAAGTTGTAATGCTAAGGTGTATGTCTTTGGTGACAAACTGGGTTAGAAATGAAAGTGAACTAGTGTCGCTATCCTGCTGCTTAGTGTAATCAATTAGCAGCTTTTCAAAACTCCAGATGTAAAGCAGTAATTGAGTTTAGTTTTTGTGTGTGCCAAGACTCCATGAGCACAAAGCCCCTTTAACACTGTTGGTGCTGTCGCATAGCTTTGTTTTCACTCAGATCCCAGAAGAAGTGTGTAGGGATCCTGAAGAAACACTTCTTGTTTAGTTCATCTGGCTTGCACTGGCATACCTCCAAATGACTGTGTGTGTCTCCCCCACTGCTTTTTAAATTTCCCTTAGCACAGGCTGTATCCCTTCTGCAATCACTCACGGATTGAAGGAAAGCATCCTCTAATTAACAGAGACGTGAGAGAACTGTTTAACGCTTTTTACTTTCCACTCTCCTGCTCTGTTTTCCTCTGACTTAAGCTTCTTTTGCTTGTTGAAATCAATAAGATGTTACTGTCGTCAGAGAGGGATGGAGACCCAGAGATCTCTAGAGAAACCCTTTTTGTAGTCTTTCAGATTTTCATTAATTTCGCCCACACTGACAATTGGCTTTTGATTAAAGGCTGTTGAATAACGATTTGGAGGATTTTCGCAGCAGTGATTGTGTTTCTTTGTCTTTTTACTTGCAAATGCACCATTCCTTTATATTTATTGCAGCCAATTGAAAACCGGCATTAAGTTTCTCCTTCTTGTGTGTAGATGGCCACTTAAAAGCTGCTTAAACCACATTCTCAGAAAGCAAAGAAATCCAGCTCAGCATTTAGCCTGAACCAAAATGATAAGGTCAAGTTACAGATATGATTAGTCAGCGTTAGAGCTGCAACACAGTGTTTCCCACAGATCTGAAATATACTTGTGGTGGTAGCCGGGCACACACTGTTCTGATGCACACACACGGCTCTGAAAAAAGCAGTGTGTGTAAGTAAGGTCTCCCTTTCTGTTGGTCGCTTGTTAGCAGACCCTTCACGCGATAGCAGAGCGAACAGGTACAGGAGGCTTAGAGCGAGGGATCATTCTCCATTGGTTAATCGATCGCAGATAGCGTGGTGCTCGCGGACGGATAAGATAATAAACCTGGGCGGCCCGCCCAAGTAAAGTCTGTGTGGGAAACCCTGGAACATAAAATTGGTTTATAAGATCAAGAATCATTTAGTCAGATTCTTTACATACCCTTCCCCTCCCTTCCTTATTGACCAACGTTTTATTTTCCTCCTCTGTCCAAAGGCACCCATGTAATGGAAGGCTCAGGGAAAATGTTGGTTACGGCTATAGGGGTCAACTCTCAAACTGGAATTATCTTCACTTTACTTGGGAGCGCCGAGGATGATGAAGAAGAAGAAGAAGAAAAGAAAAAGGAAAAAGAGGAGAAGAAGAAACAGAGAAAAAGTTAGTATCCCAACTGTTCTGTTGTTCACATTTGAATAGATATTTACATTCTGTACCTACAGTTTGCATCTCGTATAAAGATTTCCTCATCTTGCATTCAGAATGTTTTATATTGAAAGCAGCAGGCCAGTGTGGAAAGAGTAGCTGACTTAACAAAGTTGCATGTGGACTAAGAACAAAAGATTGATGTGTTCCACAAGTTAGATGTGCTTTTTTAGAAGCACAGAAGCAGATTTGAGATCCAGGGCTGGATTGTAGGAGATTAACTCGCTTCAAATGATTTTTATTATCGATTTTAATCTGAACAAATATTTGAAAATAATTTCCAACAACCCAAGTCAACACTCAAAGTGGTTGTATTATTTTTATGTAAGCAGCGTTTTTTTTGTTGCGGCAATAATTATTTTTGAATCACAAAAATAGACATACCTATATACATAATATACAAGCATACTAGGTTACAATAGTAGTTTAAAGTGCAGATACTGTGTATTGTTCAGCAGTTTGTTTTTACTTACCATACAATGTATTATTTTGTAACAGACAAGAAGCAGGAGGGAGCGGCGGAGAATCGTAAGAAAGGTAAGTTGCACGCACACACACACACACACACACACACACACACACACACACAAACACTATTAAAACCATATATTATCCTTACAGATTAGCATCTACATTTTAAGTATTAGTCTTTTTCTTCTTTACATTTAACAGCGATGTAGGTCAAAGCATCAATTTGTTAATAGTTTGCTGCAGTGTATTTTTTTTGCAAGTAATGAGGAGTTGCACATTCTTGCATGTCCCCGTTTACACTTGGTGCTGGCTGTTCTTGCCTATCCATTGTGCTGCCTTGCCTGGCACATTGGGCTTTGAGCAGCAGGTGCTACTGAATCCAGTTATAGCGATTAGTGATGAGGAGATTAAAGCCATGCAACAATTCTGGAGCCAGAACATCTGCTTTCCCACCCATCGCTCTCTCTCTGACTTTTCCTCAGGCCCCCACAATTTGATCTATATTGATGTACCAATCTGAACAATTTAGAGTCAAACTGTAAGGATTTTCCGCCTTACAACAATGATGATGAGGCTGTTTAGTGGTGGCTCAGCCAGATAGCTGGGCTTGTGTTCTCGGGCTGGGACACTATGATCAGTTTGCTTGGGTCTGTGACCACAACGCTGGCGCTAGTCCCTGGTGCACAGATTCCCTCTGCCTGCCAGGAATCAACAGTAATCCTTTAGACTGAGATTACACAGGCCATGTAAGAACAGAACAAGCCACAGTCCACAGCAGCTGCAGTAGCCCAGCGTTAATGCCCCTCCTCTTCTGCTGCATACATCCACACACAATACTACGGTCTACGTCATAGTAAAAGAGCTTTAAGCATAGAGCAATTGGAAAAGGACTGCATCTGCTCATAGAAAGCAACGTTGCAGAATTGACACCCAGATAGTAATGATATTAAAAGGAGAATGGAAATGTGTCAGTTGTCCTTTAGCAGCAGTTCTAGCGCCAGTGCCCGGCGGAGCTAATGATTTTATCATGAGGAGTGACACGCAGAGACCTGCCCCTGCTGGCCTGCCGGCTGCCTCTCCTCCCTCCTCTGCCATTAGAGGCTTTGCGTTTCCAAGGTTACCTGGTTAGACGTGGGTTTTGGATTCCTGTCAGTTCTTTGTGCAAGGGATGGGGGTCCGGAGGGATGTTGGGGAAGAGATGAAAGAGATTTAAGGGAATGTAACTGGCCACAGGAGTTGCTGTCGAAGGAGGATTCAATTCCTCCGACAGATCTGAATGTTATTTGCTCGTTAACCTCTTCTTTAAATCTCTAAAGGTGGGAGTATGCTAATTACTCTACCAAATCTTCCAGCTAATTACTGTGCGGTCAGACCACGGCAAAACATAATTACAGTAACATTTCCCAAGTTCCATAGATAAAAGGAAAGCAACAAAAAAAACATGCTAATTTGACAACCATTTTGCTCTTGGCAGTCGCTCTTGATTTAATCTATTATCTTTAAATATAGTGTTTTTCATAATGCTTCTTGTAGTGCTGTTCTGAAGCAACTTTCTGTGAGTAGTTGGCAGCTAAATGAGATAATCAAGTAACTCAGGTCTGTGTCATTTGACTTCCTACAGTTTATTCATTCACTGTGTAACAGCAGCGTTTTTACCTCAGTTCATGCAAATGTAAGCAAATAGGCAAATCTAAAGAGGCTTCATGTGGTGCCTGATTACACATTGCATCTCCTGTGTGTTCTTTGGGTTATGATGATTTGTCACAACTGAAAGACACAAATTTGGTCAGTAATGTGTTCCAGATAAGACAAATACATCTGATAGACAAAGTACTGGGACACTGTTTAAACCAAAAACATTTTTCAAATGAATATGTGGACTGGCATGTAGACATTGAACACATAAGAATTTACAGCACTAAAATGAAACAGCGGTAAGGTGTAACGGCCAGGTCGTTTGAAATAGTTCTTGTGCTTTGCTGCAGCTAAAGCACAGGATGGTGCTGCGATGGAAATGCAGCCCCTGAACAGTGAGGAAGCTGATGCGGAGGAGAGGAAGAAATCCAACACGTCGAAGAAAGAGAAGTCTGTTCTCCAGGGCAAACTGACCAAGCTAGCCGTACAGATTGGAAAAGCAGGTGAGAAAAACCTTGGATTCCGGCAACCGTGCTATGTGGCTTTGTGTCTCCTGATTGTCTGCCATTTTGTTTTCCACATCCACAATTCGATCTTACCGTTTTATGATTGATTGGTCATTCTCTATCTTCCTTGTCTCTTATTCTCCTCAGGACTGGTTATGTCTGCCATCACTGTCATCATCCTGGTGGTGCTGTTTGTAGTAGACACCTTCTGGATCCAGAATCTTCCTTGGGTCAAGGACTGCACACCCATTTACATTCAGTTCTTCGTGAAATTCTTCATTATTGGCGTCACTGTCCTGGTGGTTGCTGTTCCTGAAGGCCTGCCTCTGGCTGTAACAATCTCCCTGGCATACTCTGTTAAGGTAAGTCTGCTAGCCAAGTGACCTGTGGCCAGTGCTGACCTGCTTACTCTTTAGCCTATTAAAGCTAGCAGGCCAGGCTGTTAGACAAGGAGACTTGGCCATTTGATACCCTAAAGCCAAGCTGTGATCCCTGTGCTGAATCTGTTAGCCAACAGAGGGCTTCGTCTTTTAAATCTTGCAGCCTTTAAAAATAAATGTTGTCACTCAAGTTAAAGTTATGTTCTGGAAAAATCTGAAAGCAGTCCGTCATTTTGACAGATTAGATCAAACTCGGAACAGCGCCAAAGCTTCCGTGTTATGAATGCCCTCCAAAAAGGAAATGATATCGTTTCCAAACCTAACTTTGCCGTACAAATCATTGAAATGTCTGAGTTTTTGCTTTACGCTGTGCGCGCTCCCGCCAGGTGCAGTGGGCATGCATAACACCGGCGCTAACAGTTCACGAGCGTGCGTCTCCCCCCCCTCCCTCCGTTGACAGTTCACGAGCGTGCTCTCTCTCTCTCTCTCTCTCCCCCCCTGTCAGAGTCGTGTACAGAGTAGGCCGACGGGTAATAATGGATTTTGACGGAAATGTTACGATCCAGCGAAAAAGTCTTGCGCCACCTCTGGTTCTGATACATTTCCCCCTAGTCATACTGAATTAAGTTGTTTAATCATTGGATGTATTGTTTTCTACAGAAAATGATGAAAGACAACAACCTTGTACGGCATTTGGATGCCTGTGAGACTATGGGCAATGCTACCGCCATCTGCTCTGACAAAACAGGAACACTCACCATGAACCGCATGACTGTGGTGCAAGCCTTCATCGGGGAGAAGCACTACAAGAAGGTCCCTGAGCCAGAGAACATCCCCTCCTCCATTCTAGACATTCTAATTCTGGGCATCGCTGTCAACTGCGCATACACTACTAAGATCATGGTAGGTCTGACCAAATGTATTATAAAACATTATGCCACCATGAATATTGTCTTATAGAGCTGTACCAAATGTCGTTTTTAGTTTACATTTTAAGCTAATGTTGAGGGTTTTTTAAATGATTTTATGTTTTATCATTATCCTCAAAAGGAAAAAAAAAATTAAATGAATGTGTTTGTGCTGCAGAAAAACATTTCATTTTTTAAATGCAAACAAATATAGATTGAAGCATAATATTTCACAAGGTAAAAAATCGGGCATTTTGGAAATAGTGACATCTATCTTTTTGTAATAGATGTTTATTGTTTGACCTTTTGGCAATATTGTAAATGTTTGGTTTGCAAGAGTCTTGCACAGCTGAGATCTAATTCTATAACATTAATATATTGATGTCATCTTTATCCACAACTGTGCAGTAATACCTGGTACCAATACACTTTTAATATTGTTTTTGGATATGATTAATAGCGTTACGAATGTTTTCAACTATTTGGTACAGCCCTATTGCAGTGTCCTATTTGGCTTTAGAAAATACTAACTGTCTTCTACCTTTTCTCTCAGCCTCCAGAGAAAGAAGGCGGCCTGCCACGGCAAGTTGGTAACAAGACTGAATGTTCCTTGCTTGGTTTTTCCAATGACTTAAAGCGCGACTACCAGACCATACGCAACGAGATCCCCGAGGAGAAACTCTACAAAGTCTACACCTTTAACTCAGTCCGCAAGTCCATGAGCACCGTGTTGAAAATGGCTGATGGCAGCTTCCGTATGTTCAGCAAAGGGGCCTCAGAAATTCTCCTAAAAAAGTAAGAAAAATGTTTTTATCTTAGCATTTTAGGGTTTACGTTAATATCTGTCTTCTATTGGAATTATATTACTGAAAAGACATGCACTAATGTATATGAAGTTTGACCAGTGTTTTCCATAAGAATGATTCCATAGATTTATTTGTACTTGTTTTAGCTGGCCAGTCTTTGCAGTAAATGATATGTGTAATGTCTTAAGCAGCTAAGAAGTTCAAGTGCATCCCACCCAAGCCCCTTACTTTGCGACTTAAAAACAGGCGCTCAGAAAATGAGCCTGTAACAACTCTGTAAGCCTCTTAACCAAGCAGGCTTCTTTTTAACCCACAGAGGGCTTAGGGACTACTTACTACCACGGTTAACCATTCAAACTCTTTGTCCTCTCCTCCTTAATCAACAATCAACAATCTCAACTTTCGTCTCCTTCAGGTGCTATAAAGTCATGACGGCAAATGGTGAGTCCAAGGTGTTCCGCCCACGGGACAGAGACGACATGGCGAAGAAAGTGATCGAGCCCATGGCCTCAGAGGGCCTGAGGACCATATGTCTGGCATACAGAGACTTCCCTGTCTCTGAGGGGGAGCCTGACTGGGACAATGAGAATGATATTCTCAGTGGACTGACCTGCCTCAGCGTGGTGGGCATTGAAGACCCTGTGAGACCCGAGGTTAGTGGCTTCACACACATCAGCAAGAGGGGACATAACACTTGTTCTAATTTAAACGGAGAGAACATAATTTCATACATGAAAAGACTTTGCTTTAATAAGGGGAACAGTTATCTTCATGACTTGTATTCAATGTGCTAGCACTTTATGCCCTTGGATCCAGTTATGGAAAATGGAAACTGGAAAATTCTAGATTAAACTACAGTGTTATCCGGCTATATCAGGAAGCAAAGTTGTTTATACCTGATCCAAAGAGTCTGCGTAAAAGCCAGTCGTCATAGAGAGTGGGTGAGATGCAACGTTATTTAAATATTGGGCTTCATTTTCATTCTTTCCTGGAAGGCATATGTAGTGTTGCACACATTGATGGAATTAGCTCTGTGTTGAGATTAAAAATAGAAAGCTACAGAGAGAAGAACAAACTCTTATGCCTTTCTAACCTCCGCACAGATGGCCAACGGTTATGAGTTCCTGTCTTGTTAAGTTACAGGAACCATTTTACTCCTCTGTTACACCGCAGAAAGGTGTGGGAGAGAGAGAACGGGGGGGTTCCAGAGCTATTTGACCATCAGGAAAGCACTTCTGATGAAGCATCCTGGCAGCTTAATGGGTTAGCTTGCTCTTGTGTGCTGTTTGGCACTCAGGCTTTCGGAGTAAAGCAAGACAATTGATTGACAGGAGATGCTGCATCAGCCATTTTAGATAATGATATTGAGGCTTTTGAGGGAGTGGTTCCACAGTGAGACAACTAAATGGATGTTCGAAATGGAACTGGCATGGTCATTAGCTCTTGCTAGAGGATCTTCTTCAGTCCTTCTCATTTGTTTTGACTTATTGCCAGTTTTTGCTGGGCAGGTGGTATACACACACAACGTGTGCTGGAAAGAATTGCCTGTGGTTTGAAGGGAGCTTACTTCAAGCATTGAGACTGCAGCATATAGTCACTATAGGAATTTAAACCTCACAAAACCTAGATAATAAGATAATAGCTGCGTATAGATCCGTAGTTGAACATAGCCAATGACCGACTCACAAAACCTGACATTTAATTTTAATATCCGTGTGATATGCAAAACATGCATTACTCATTCATTGTGTTTCCACTTTCCTGCAGGTCCCAGACGCCATCAAGAAATGCCAGCGCGCCGGTATCACAGTGCGGATGGTGACTGGGGACAACATCAACACAGCTCGAGCCATCGCCACCAAGTGTGGCATCCTACTGCCCGGAGACGACTTCATCTGCATAGAGGGAAAAGAGTTCAACCGAAGGATACGCAATGAGAAAGGAGAGGTGGGCCTCGGCAGCAAATTACTTGACCTCAAAATTGACAGTTGAAAATGCTGCTTTTGGGATTCTATCAGGGTTTTTTCTCATGTTTCTAGATCGAACAAGAGCGCATTGACAAGATCTGGCCCAAACTACGAGTACTGGCACGCTCTTCCCCCACAGACAAACACACCCTAGTGAAAGGTAAATCGGTTATTCTGGTCTGAGCTAAATGTTTTGCTGTTACTAGTTTGTTGTTTTCAGCTTACAGGATTATTCTGAAATTCTATTCTGTTATACTTTTATCTAGGTATTATTGACAGCACAGTGTTAGAAAAAAGACAAGTAGTAGCCGTGACAGGAGATGGTACCAATGATGGTCCCGCCTTGAAGAAAGCTGATGTCGGCTTTGCCATGGTGAGTTTTGCTATCTTTAATAAGACTTAAAAAGAGGATCCATTACTTGAACATGCTAACATTACATTTATTGGTTATTGGTTATATTAGAATGTTTATATATTGTGATCAGATGCAGGCAGATTCTTGAGCATCATCTTTCTTTGTCTCCAGGGTATTGCCGGCACAGATGTAGCTAAGGAGGCCTCTGACATCATCCTGACTGACGACAATTTCTCCAGCATCGTCAAGGCCGTCATGTGGGGGCGCAACGTCTACGACAGCATCTCCAAGTTCCTCCAGTTTCAGCTAACTGTCAACGTGGTGGCTGTCATCGTAGCATTCACAGGAGCCTGCATCACACAGGTCAGCACCAACAGAGTTAATATAAAAGAAACGCATTGGTCTCTAGCATGAAGGTGGTTGAACTAAATGTTTCTTCACTGGTTCACACTTTAACGGAGTGAAAATATGACCGTGTGAAGATCCAGCTAGCACATCTGAGGGGAAACACAGGGTGTGACGGGATTTCTTTTTTTTTTTTTGACACCATCAAAGTGGCAAAATGTTGACTTTTATTTTGTCTCTGTTTGGTGGTCAAGATAAGCTGGGCACTGCAGCCTAATGCAGTGATTTAAGTATCACCTTTTGTATCTCAACCAGAAGATTGCAGATCTATCTTAAATATACAATATATTCCTCAGAAATAGTCTTAATTCCCAATTCCCATTGCCTCCTGTGGCAATAAACCTGCATCAGTTATACCATTTGCATTTGTGTACGGAAACCAAATAACTGACAGTTGTGCTGCAGACAAGGGCATACATTGCTATTTGGTTCATGTCAGTTCAAATCTATTTAATTTATGCGTCGTATTTCCATGTTGTTAGAGATTTGATCCTATGTGTGACTGTGATAGATGGATCAATAAGTTATTGAACATAATTTGATGGTCAAAGATCAAGTTTGTGGGCTTCACTCAAAACGCATGTGCTAATTAAGACAATTTCACACACATTTCAAATAGGATAAAATGATGAAGTGATGACATTTTGCACGGACATGGCTATAAACTGCAGCTAGACTGGTAGGCGGAGGCATTCAACCGAGAGGCAGTAATTCCAGTTAATTCCTCCCTCTCTCCCCCCTTCTCAACATAATGTGATGCTTCTCTCTGCCTCCAGGACTCTCCACTGAAAGCAGTCCAGATGTTATGGGTCAACCTCATCATGGACACTTTTGCTTCACTTGCCCTGGCCACGGAGCCCCCTACAGAAGCCCTGCTGCTTAGGAAGCCATATGGCCGCAACAAGCCTCTCATCTCCCGCACCATGATGAAGAACATCCTGGGTCAGGGAGTGTTCCAGCTAATCACCATCTTCACTCTGCTCTTTGCCGGTAAGAAGCCATCCAGGGTGCGCACAGCATGTGGACTTGTTGTGTAAATCCGTCCGTTTATTTGAACACATTGTCTCTGACTTTCCTGTAGGAGAGAAAATCTTTGATATCGACAGCGGCAGGAATGCACCGCTCCACGCTGGACCCTCTGAACACTACACCATTGTCTTCAATACCTTTGTACTGATGCAGCTTTTCAATGAGATCAATGCCCGCAAAATCCATGGTGAAAGGAATGTCTTTGAAGGCATCTTCAACAACCTCATCTTCTGTAGTATTGTCTTTGGTACCTTCATTATCCAGGTAAAGTACACAGGCATATTTCAGTTATATCTTTTTTTTGTAAATCTGCTTGGTGACTCATACTGCAAAAAAACATGATCAGTCCCTGAGACTTGCAACCTCTAAATGTGAATCTCAAAGATTGCTCTCTAATGAATTCCGCCTCTTCCTGCTTCTCCAGATCGTCATAGTGCAGTTTGGTGGGAAGCCGTTCAGCTGCGTGGCTCTGAGCCTCGACCACTGGCTATGGTGCACTTTCTTAGGCTTTGGCTCTCTGCTATGGGGACAGGTATGAAGTGACTATACAACTGAGCTTCACCGTCAGTTTGCCAGAGAGAAACAATGGTATGACACTGCCCCCCTGTGGTGGAGTTGGTGTAATGGGAGTCTAATGGTGGCAGATAAATGCAGCAGTATGTTGTACTCTTGTAAAGAGATGGGTAAACTCCCAAATTCAAAATGAATATTTTAATTTTAAATAAAGTCTGTTGTAGTTATACTTCTCTGTACATAGCTTCAGCCAATCTGCAATTTTATTTAGATCAATCTGAACTGTCAAATTAAATGAATGTCTTTTTATTACTTATTATATACTTATTATATATATATGTGTGTGTGTGTGTGTGTGTGTGTGTGTGTGTGTGTGTGTGTGTGTGTGTGTGTGTGTGTGTGTGTGTGTGTGTGTGTGTGTGTGTGTGTGTGTGTGTATGTGTGTATGTGTATATATATAAAACACATTATATAATAATCATGATAGAAGCTGAGATCAGACATTTATATAATGTGTTTTATATATATACACATACACACATACACACACACACACACACACACACACACACACANCACGTTTTTAAGTCCTTGAGGCAGTCTTGAATTTTATTTAGATGATTAATTTCATCAGGCTTGATTGATAAATATAGTTGAGTATCATCCGCATAACAATGAAAGTTTACAGAATGATTCCTTATAATATTGCCTAACGGAAGCATATATAATGTGAACAAAATAGGTCCGAGCACTGAGCCCTGTGGCACTCCATGGCTAACTATGGTTTGCATGGAAGATTCATCGTTGACACGTACAAACTGAGAGCGTTCAGATAGATAGGACCTAAACCAGCCTAAAGTCAGCCTTAGGAACAGCTGACTGGCAGTTCCACAGGCCCCCTGAAACGAGATGTTGGATCTCAGTGGAGCATGTGGGATAGACAAGAGCAGGTCGGTTATATCGATTAGGAGATACACGGGGCCAGTGATAATTGCGAGAAGACACATGAACAGGAATGGAGAAAATACACATGATTATAGCATTAGGGGCTAAAAAACAAAATAAAACACCAGCGATACTTAGCTCAATCAAAGTAGGATTTGCCTCCTCTTTGCCTCCCTCGTGACTCCCGCAGGACTCTAATATCTTTGTCAGTCTTAGAGACTCCCGCAGGACTCTAATGTCTTTGTCTGTCTGACTCTGAAGCTGACGCTCCAGGAAAGTGCTACCTAAAATGAACACCTGACTGCTGAGTTCTCACAGCTGTGGGGCCACGCCCCTTTAATTAGTTAACTCTCTGCAGCTGGTGGCCCTCAAAAGGAAATCTAGACTGGCTCCCTCCTGAGTTGTTGTTGTGTTTTTAGCCACTCCTGTGTTGCCTTCGCCGTATGTTCAGGGTCATTGTCCTGCTGGAAGACCCATCCATGACCCCTACGGTACGGTACATGGCCCCGTACATCTCTCCTCGATGCAGGGAAGTCCTCCTGTCCCCTTAGCAGAGAAACACCCCCAAAGCAGAATGGTTCCACCTCCAGGCTTGACTGTGGGGATGGTGTTCTGGGGTTATAGTCAGCATCGCTCTTCCTCCAAACACAGCGGGTCAAGTTGATGCAAAAGATCTTGATTGTTCTCTCATCTGACCACATCAATCTTCTCCCAAGCCTTCTCTGAATCATTCAGATGTTCATTGTCAAACTTCAGACGGGCCTTTCATGTTCTTCTTGAGCAGGGGACCTTGCGGACGCTGCAGGATTTGATCCATTATGGTGGAGTGTGATATCAATAGTTTTCTTGGTGACTGTGGTCCCAGCTGCCTGGAGATATAACAAGTTCCTCCATGTAGTTCTTGGCTGATCCCTCACCTTTCTCATGATCATCAATACCCCACAGGGCCAGATATTGTGTGGAGCCCCTGACCGAGGGCGATTAATGCTCATTTTCTGTTACTTCCATTTAGAAACAAACACATTATTCTTCTGAATAATCACACCCACAGTTGTCTCCTTCTCACCAAGCTGCTTTCTGGTGGTCTCGTAGCCAATCCCAGCCTTGTGCTGGTCTACAGTCTTGTCCCTGAGGTCCTTAGACAGCTCTTTAGTCTTGTCCATGGTGGAGAGGTTGGAATCTGATTGATTGATTCTGTGGACAGGTGTCTTTTATACAGGTAACAAGTTGGTATTCGGAGTACTTTGTTAAAGGAAGAGGACTTATGTAACCGTCTGTGAGAGCAAGAATTCCTGTTGGTTGCAAGGGGATCAAATAATATTTTCCTACAATTAATTGCAAATTAATTGTTATCTTTTATATAATGTCAATTTCTGGATTTTCTTTTTGATATTCTTACTTACACTGTTTATATAAACCTACCATTAATTTACAGAATGTTAATTTCTTTGTAAGTGGGTAAACTTACAAAATCTGCAGCGGATCAAATACTTATTTCCTCCACTGTATGTGTCTCAGGAGGTTTCACAGTTACCGGATACTGTGGCGGGGACTGTTCTGCTCACTCAGGAGGACTCCCGGAACAAGAGCTCAGGACAAAAGAAGAAGAACAGGGAACGTGGGAAGGTAAAGCTGCCATTGACAACTACGAATCTCTACGATTGTTTGACATTGACTGAGCAGAAACACACATTTTTCAGTATTGTTCATCTTGTATATCCAACAAAAAACATAAAATACAATTTTCTTGTTGAGATTTTGCTGTTTGATTGATTATTTTTGATAACTTAAATGTTTAAAATTGAAGGAGAACCCTAGTGTTGCATGTTTTAGCTCCCTACATTCAATAATAATTCCACTAATTCATGAAAATCCACTTTTAATTTGTAATAAAATGTGGGCTGAAACATGCAAACCAAGGGTGTGCTCTTATATCAATAGGTCTAAACCATTTGATAACTTTAACTCTAAGAACTTTTAATGTTGCATTAATTTGTGTTCGTTAACTACTTATCTCCCTCTTAAATACCTCCCTCAACTTACAGTATCAACCTCGTAATTTAATACTTGATCATCAACGTCTAAAGCATGAGAAACCTTTATCTTTTTTCCCTCCGACTGTGAACTTCTTAACCAGGGCAAAGGAAATAAAGGAAGACATAAGAGGCAGAGACAACGCCTGGTAAATGTCCTTTAAGGGGTCCCATCTCAACCTCCAAACTTCACTCCACTTTTGTCCCAACTAAACAAAAAATAAACTACCAACTAACACGTCTATCTAACACTGCAAAGTTTAAACGAAGACTCTGACACTGGCTGCCGCTAACATTAACATGACATTATATGTGTAATTAACAGCTTAAATGTTTTTTTTAAAAATCATAATAAAATGACATAATTTAAATATAATAAACATAATTAACCAATATTTGTGGTGTGGCTAGTAAAAATAAAAGCATGCAGTTATCTCAACGTCCATGTGCTTCTCATTATAACTGTAACAAATCTCATTTTTGTTTTAAGTGCTTGGCATTGTGTTCTTCCAGACATTTTAAGTTATGATGTGTAACAGTATCTACCTCTAATTATTGTTGCGTGTCCTTTTTCTGAAGACCACTGATGAGGACATGCAAGAAGAGGAAGAGGAGTTTTATGATGGCGAAGAATACAGTTATGAATACGAGGTAGGCAGCAGCTGCGATGAATGTGTGAACAGTGGGAAACTTCATTTGAAAGTGATGATTGATGACGTGGGGCTGTTACAGATTGGGAGCGTTGTCGTGGTGGGAGGCTTCTTGCTAACAGACCTGTCATACTCATATTTAAATTGGGATTTTCTCAGCGTCTCATTTGCGCCCACACTAAATACTGGAGAGAATTTATTCATGACACACCCACTACTTGAATTTATCATTAGGAATACATTACTGTGTCATAACAGCCCACCCGATCGGCTTTGTACATTGTCACTGGAGTAGTTGAAGGTTGAAGGTGTTTACATGTTATGTATATATTTTTTTCTAAACAGGAAGAACTTCCTACAGATGTCCTCTTGGCCTCTCAGGAGAGGAAAAACAACACACAGGTACATTTGCTTCAAACAGCATGTTTCAGCTGGTCTGGGTAAATGCTGTGATTCACTTTAAATGTAAAATATGTTTCGCGTTTATTTTTTTACGATATGCAGCTTGAAGTCCAAAATGATTACATTCCCCATACAGTGGATAAATAGCTCAGTGTTAATAATGATGTAGCACATATCATCACCAAAAGTAATTCACTGTTGCACAGTTTACACATGTATGCTCTTTCTGTTTTTCGATGTAGGAGGAACTAATAACCACACACAGTCCTGCCCATTCAGAAACACTGGTGGAAACCTCCAGTCATCCTCTAACGTCCTCCACAGACAGAGACATAGATGCACAGGTGGAAACACACTCAATTGCTGAAGTATTAAAAAAAAAAAATTAGTACAAATATCCTGTCATTTGAACATTATATCTTACGTATTTATATATTATATACACATATTAAATACAACCCGGGAATGTTGTATATACCTAAAGAACCCTTTCCTTTCGGTTTTGTATTCCCCTAGGCTATCTTGACAACCTCAGAACCACTATCACAACCTGGAGATATAGAAATGGTATGGGGGGGTTTGCTTGTTTTTGTTGCCGTCACATACGGATTTTATGAGAGTGTTATTTTGAAAGTCTCTCCTTCATTGTCATATTCTGATCTGTTCTTCAATGTTATCACCAGGAGGAAACATCACTCCCTACGCCTCCCATCACGACAGAAGAACAACACAAGGTAGAGCTTTGATTTGACTTGAAATGCTTGAAACCTAACTGAATGTTTATGAAGACCCTTGCATGCCTTGGAATGCAAATCTCTTTTATCTTCACTTAACATGAGACTCCTAAAAGTGATTGACAAGTGCTTGAACCAAAGGATTGATGGTTACATTTTCTCCCTGTCATAATATGTAGTACTCCAAAAATTAACATGCTTTTTGTAACAAGCACATATTTCAAAACCTTTTCTTCTTTCTTCTAACTTCTAACTATACAATTTCACCAGTGCAAAAAAAGGTGCACATATGACTAATGTGAATACAATGGGAATGGAAAAAAAGCATCATAGCATTATTAAAGCATGAGACAGGACAGCATTTCCAGAGAATGCTATTAGCATGATTTCTCTAATGCTTGCCTGAATGGGAATGAGCCAAACAAGTTGCCTAGACCAACTCTTCAATGATTTACAGACAAAGAAACAATTCCATAGCATTACCTTTAATACTTTCTCTGTCTGGTTTTTTTAAACAGGACGACTCTTAAGTCCCAAGAGACTGTGACTTTAGGATGTTAAGCATTCATAAGAAAGCTCACACTACATGGAGCGTGTGAATAAACTGCGAACTGTTTTGCTGGTGAGGAGCCCTGAACCTGACCTGAACGTATCATGAGGAAGGACTTCTTTCCACAAAGAGACACTCACCCATGCCCAACAACATACCAAAGTTCAAATCTGCTATGAGGGCTTATATCCTTAGTAGAGCTCTGTAGAAAACCAGGCACAGCTGTTTAAATATGATATGTTTCCTCGTGTCCAGGTTATTTTCATTCTTCACCTTTTTCACTGTTAATGCCAGTCTAGCCTTTAATTTACTCAACTTGTCTACAACTCCTAATTTATTTATTAAGACAAATATTTATTTGTAACAAATACATATCACATTAGATGCAACTGAACATTATATTTCCTTTTGAAAAGTTGTACTTACATTTTATTTATTGAAATATGGATAATCTTGTGTTTTTACCTTACCAAATATCTTTGAATATCAATGATATTATTTAGAATGTAGTGTTACTATAAGCATATGTGGAGCCAACGCTTTTTTCACTGGTGAAATGTTTCTCTGTTATTACATTGTTTTGTCTGTTTAACCTCTCTGTGCATGTATCCATAGTAAAATTGTTAAAATAACCTAAGCAATTCTGTGTCTTTCTTTCTTATACACACACATACATCAAAACACACATACAGCTGTTTGCTAGGAAGCTTTACAATAATTGTGATAAATGTTTCATGAGAAGTTTTGGGGGTCTTGATAGGTGCATAGGTCCCAGATCAGGGTGAAGAAAAGCGCTACCTGGCCTGACTCCATGGTAAGTGCCACCTTTGTAGAAGACAGATTGATAATAATCAAAATGGCAGTAAAAAAAACATTTTTTATTTTTTGTAGGTGTTTATGCCAGGTGCCCCTGGTGGAAGAACTCGTTTCTTGGAGGCACACAAAGTAATTCAGTCTTAAAAAATTCAAACTTAATGCATGTGACTCAGATTGCATCTAATAAAAAATGAAGATTGACACCTTATTTGATTTTCAGCATCTGTCCTCTGGAGCTCAAGGTTACAACAGCTGGAATGTAAGTTATCATGGATTTCAAAAATGAGAAATCCAAACGAAGACGCTGAGACTTATAAACATGGTAACTCGTGTTATTAAATGCTGTTCTCTTGCAGAAGAAGCACGAAGACTCTGAACTTCAAACACTTAGCAGGAAGCAGAGGCAAGAACGAAGTGAGAGGCAGCGATACAGCGATACAGAAACCCAAGGGGGAGGAAAGGAAGAAACTGAAGCTGAAGAAGTGGAGGAGTGGGAAACAGAACAACACAAAGTGATAGAGACAGATCGATTTACAGAACCAGACCCTGATCCCATCTATGAGGAGGAGAGGAGTGGAGACTACGACTGGGAGACAGAGGAGGACGTAGATCGAGAGAGAGGAGGAAAGGAGGATGAAGACCTCGAGAGGGAGAGAGAGAAGGAAAGGATGGAGATGGAGAGAGAAAGAGAGGAGCTTGAGAGAGAAAGCGAGGCAGAGATGGAAGTAGAGAAAGAAAATATGGAGAGGGAGCTGGAGAGGGAGAGAGAAAAAATGGAGAGGGAGAAAGAGTTGGAGAGGGGGAGGACAGAGCAGGAGGGGGAGGAAGACTTGGAGAGGAAGAGGACAGAGCAGGAGGGGGAGGAAGACTTGGAGAGGGCGAGGGAGGAGTGGGAGAGGAGGAGGGCGGAGATCGAGAGGGGGAGAGTGGGGGGTTATGATGAAGAAACTGGACAGCCGTACCCATACCCCCCAGAGTCTTTCCACCTGAAGGTAACACACCCTTCAATGTAACAAACTCAACTTTTGTTATGCACATTTAGAAATATGCAGGATGAACACCACTTTGATTATGCAATGCTTTTCATTTCTTATGCAATAGGGACAAGCAGGTGAGAATGGATCACCAGGACGGAAGGTAACAAAATACTTTTTAACATGAAGACATAACAATAATAAACATGGTTATCATTGAAGCGCTTAAGACACAATGAGAAATGTTACATCATGAAGAAAAACATTTACTCATATAAAGCCTGATGTTATGGACTCATTTATTTGTGGTCAAACACTTTTTCATAAATCAATGATAGGAACTGAGGTTATACTTAAAAAATGTGAGGGGAAAGAAATGAAAAATACACATGTGAATAGGATGAAAAAGCAAAAAAGGGCTCTGGCAAGGAAAAAGGGTTAGCAACATAAAAACCAAAGCATAAGTACATTTTGAAAAAACCTGATGTAAAGGGTCAGTTTACCCAAAACGATATTTATGTCACAATCAACCGCATGCTAACAGCTGAGTGAGGCACATGCAGAGGTTAGAGGTCAGAGACAGCAAATTACACAGTTACGTCTGATGGGAATGTAGTTTATGAAACCTAGAGATGGACATATCAAATCACAGCTGTCTGCATGGACTCCACTAGAAGTGAGCAAGAACAAATGTTTTGTAATTTGGGTGAACTCACCCTTTCAATTCAAACACATCCCTTCCAGGATTTCCTGAGTCACTGATATCAGCTCACTGATTAAACAAATATGAAGCAGCATTATCATTATCTTTAGATCCCAGAGGAAACATGACAGTCACCACACAACATGTGCCTCCACTTCATGAATATATAACTGCAGCTATCCCCAGCTACCCACAGTGCATCAGTAAATGACATCAGAGCGTGGGGAGAACTCCTCTCGCGTCTCGCCTGTCAGTAAAACCAGTCGAGTCCCGGCCTTTGATGTGACACTCTGCTCTATTTCTGTTTGACTGGGAGACAGTATTAAAGCAGACATTCATTATTCCCCTTGTTAAACATGCCGAAGAGGCTGCTTATTCTTTTGTGTTTTTTTATTTATGTATTCAATTGAAATTCATCTGAGTTTGTTTATTTTGGATCATGGAAAACAAAGTTCTGAGGAGCTCTTTCTAACTCTTTTTGTCCCGACTTTTCAGGGGGAAATTGGTGAAGGAGGACAGAAGGTAAATATGTATAAACTGTTCAATATTAGGTTTTGAAAGTGTTACATTTTTAAATGAAAGACATTGCTGAACGATGTTCCGATGACGTTTGTTTTGTGTGTTTAGGGCGAGCCAGGTATCGGCCACAGGGGTCCAGAAGGCCAGGCTGGTCCTCCGGGACTCAAGGTAACATTTCAAGACAAATAAAACCTTGCAAACTTTATTTTTTTAATCCCCCTCTAAATCCATGAATCCTCCGCAAGTCTTCTATCACATTCTCGTTAATTGATTTGCTTCTCTTGGCAGTTTTAATTTAGCAAATGTAATTGGCTCAGTGACTCATTCACTAATTTCAAATGGTGTTTGAGCATTTACATTGGTAAAGGAAGGAAGACATTTATTTGAAAGCAATGAGTCAAAAGTAACAGAACAGCTGAATAATAACATCAAAGAAGTGACCTTTAATTGTTTGATTGTCTCCAACATTTTAAATTGTCTTTCTTACTTTCCCTCTCTTAACCTAGGGTGAACCAGGTGAGCCGGGGCCTCCGGGTGCCCAGGGCATCCAGGGTATCCGTGGTCACACAGGCATGCAGGGCTCCCAGGGGCTTAGGGCTGCTCAAGGGGACCCAGGAGACCCAGGCAGAGAGGTGCATCATACCTTATCAGTGTATCAGCTGATCTTCAGCTCGTTTTGGATGAAGACAGTGGAAGCATGTGCATATGAGTGGAATTGTTGTGAATTAATGCTAAAATGGGTTGTAAAGAATAATCAAATGTTTTCTGTGTGAACGCAGGGGGAACGGGGAAAAAGGGGAAAGAATGGATCGCCTGGATCTCCTGGAACCCGAGGAGCAGCAGGTGCTCAAGTAAGAAAACACAAAAGAGCAAAATGAGCTTCACAAATAGTCTGTCTGTAGATTGGTATTTCTCATGATTTGATAACAGTGACACTTTATCTGATTCATTTTCCACTGGAAATAACCTTTAAGGATATCTTCTTTTGCTCCCGCTGCCCCTCTCTAATAAAGGGTTCTCCTGGGATTCCTGGAGTAAAAGGAGAAAAGGTAGCTTTATATATGATAGTAGCATCAATTATTTTTTCTTTGGCCCATGATTCCTAGATTATACTTCAACTGGTATGGTCGTTTTATAGTTCAGTCATGACTTTATCTTCCTCCAGGCCAGCAGTGCTCCTGGAGAGCCCGGGGCCCGGGGGCTGGCAGGCTTCTCAGGCAGGAAGGTGAGTTTAGTTCAGCTTCATCCCAGGAGACCCTTGTGAGAAGAAAAGCCTGACCAGAAAAAGACACCAGAAACAAACACCAGACAAACACCAGACAAACGTTATGAAGCAAATTCCTGTAATGTTAGTGGATTAAGCAAAAGACATAACCGATTTCTTTTCAGGGTGAAAAGGGTCCTATAGGCAATAAAGGACCGTCTGGAAATTTAGTAAGTCACTTTTTGAAAGCCACCAAGTGTCCTGCTTTTATTTAAAACTGTTACAGGTTTAACTTGTGTATATTTAAAGATACTTTTTTTCTTCTTTTTTAGGGTCCAAAGGGTTTGCGTGGCAGCAAAGGTGGAAAGGTGAGCTGTTATTTCACATAAATGATCACAATATTATTATATATTTAAATGTATCTTTTCATTTGGTTCCTTCACTTAACTCACCAACATAATTAATCATACGGTAACGCTGCAATACTTTAATGATTGATGTCAACTTGGAGTCAGCAAACAAGACTCCAGAAAATAAATATGTATTCTCTACTCAAGAGTCACAAATAATGAGTTCAAGGCCTCTCCTTTCAATGTGTCTAACCCCTTGTCCTGTTGCGTATAACAATCATCCATGACATTGTATCAGATGGATTGCATTGTATTGTGAAGGGTTTTAATCAAATAAAATGCAACACTAAAGCAGCAACAGGTATAAAGTATTACGTGTACTTTATCAACAGCTAGAATGGCAATAACAACATTTTGTTTGTAGGGTGACTTTGGATTGCCTGGAGTGAGAGGAGAAAGGGTATGATGTGTTCCTTTTTATTACTTCCCCTGCAGTTTTCTAACCCTGCACTACACTCTTTCACAATTTAATATCTTCCTACAGGGGAATGTACTTCAAATCCAAGGACCCCGTGGATTTAAGGGTTCCAAAGGAGAGGCGGTAATATCCTTTAATATATTTGCCATCAGAATGACTGTAGAAGGAATTCTTAAGAAAAATACTACGATTATTTTCTTTTTCAGGGTGAGCGTGGCCCACCAGGTTTCGATGGAGATAAAGGAGAAAAGGGCGAGGACGGTCCTCCTGGAGTCAAGGTAATAAATCCTGCTGTCAAATATGTAAACAACAATAGTAGTAGATTCAAAATACTGTTATACTGAACACGGTGGTGTCTCTGTTAGACAATGATCATTCTTCTTCATACTTTTATTTGTCATTAAGGGAACAGCAAAAAATCCTTATCACGGAAACCATTTGTTTTTGTTTTGGAAAGGGCATAAAGGGTGATGCAGGAACTAAGGGGGCATTGGGACGTTTTGGAGCACGAGGACCAGTAGGCCAGAAGGTAAATAAAGGTTTATTTTCATATTGTTACACCACATTTATCTCAGTTCTGTGTGTAAAGTGATCTTATTTCCCTCAGGGAGATTCAGGAGAGCCTGGAATAAATGGAGAAATGGTAGAGCTACAAAACATTTTTAAGCGCCACATTTGAGTTTTAACACACGCAGTAATACCCATGGTTGTGATTTAAGGGTCTCAATGGGGATTATGGAGTGGATGGGGCCAAGGGGGACAAAGGAGACATAGGACTGTTCGGCCAAAAGGGAAATCAGGTACATTGAAAATCAATATTCAACCAATCATGATCCTTTATATCGTATCGTATGAATGTGTGTTTGATTCTTTTCTCAGGGTGATGCAGGAGAACCAGGCTTACCGGGAAACATAGGGGAGAATGGAGAAAAGGTTAAGGCAGATTTTTCTTTTTCACAGTTGTCCCACTCATTGTTTATTTTTTATTTGCCATGTGCCATATTTGCATGTGAAATATGTTTTTGTTGCAGGGTTTCAGAGGTCTACCGGGACGCATTGGGAGTCCAGGCCTTGATGGAGAACAGGTTAGTAATGAACTAGCATCTTAGATGAATGCAAAGTTATTCATCATCTTTCAGTAATCTAAATAACTCTGTGTATGAAGGGAGATTTGGGGTTACACGGCACGCCTGGTATACCTGGGCTGAATGGACTCACAGGACGCAAGGTGAACATTCAACGTTGCAAATATTCATCTTTCTCTCTTCCGTAAACGTATACAAACTCTCTGTTCCTATCATGTGACCTCACTTTAGGGTGATAAGGGACAAGGAGGCGTCAATGGTGTTGATGGTAAATCAGGAGTGAAAGGAGATAAGGTCAGTAAATTAACATCACTGCTAACTATCAAGCTAATTTCACCACTGATCATTTGCCGGTTTTATTTTCTCCTGTGTGTGTTAATGATTCTGTTGCTTGCTGAAGGGTGCAGCAGGTTTCCCAGGATTCCCAGGGTTTAAGGGGTCGGAAGGGAAAACAGGAATGGACGGAGATGAGGGAATGCCAGGACACCCCGGACCCCGCGGGGAAACAGGGCGGAGGGTACGGTATTCCTCCGTGTGTTGAGGAAATATGAAATAAATCATTCCATTTTAGACTATTATGTGAACATGGTGACGAGATGAGTGTGATTACAGTCCTCACCATATCTGCGTCTTGTTAGCATGTACTGCAGCAGTGGATACAGTACAGACATGTCTTATACTAAAACACACACACACACACACACACACACAGGCCTATTTTCCGTCTGCAGCTTTCATGATTTCAGCTACAATTAGCAGACTTTCAGTGTTGACAGAGAGTGTGGAAACCTTTAAAGAGGATATTCTGAGGAGTTACCTAATCAGTCTGTCTTTCCTGCCGCTGTGTGTCTACTTGTTAACACAGAGGTTTAGTATGAAATACTGTCCAAACTCACAATGTGGTTTCTCTGGACGCACTTTGATTTTTGTCTAACAGGGGGAGAGGGGCAGAAGAGGCAGAGTGAAGACTTGTCAGAGAGGAGCCCCTGGGACAACAGGAATAAGAGGAGAGAGTGTGAGAGTCCTGCATGAACACACACACACACACACACACACACACACACACACACACACACACACACACACACACACACACACACACACACACACACACACACTCAAAAACAGAAGTGAAGATATTGACATCTTGGTCTTCTCCTTGCTTCTGTGTTACTAGCTTCTGTTATGTATTTGGTCCACTCAAGAAATGTTTTACTTTTTTTTTGATGACCTGAAGGTCGTGGGATTTTATACTCTCTAGAGTTGTTTTGATCAAATTAAAATATTTTATAAAAATGCTCGATAGAATTTTCAATGTTTTGAAAATGTGTTGTTTCTTTAGGGTACACTGGGCATTGAAGGAGGAAAAGGGGAGAAGGGGGAGCCTGGACTCTCGGTATGTGTTTATCACAATTACACACGTTTAAACATATTTACTGTATATAGAGAGGTAGTCAAATTAATAACTAAATAAACTAATATTTTCTTTCTTTGTATCAAGGCTGAAGAATTGAAGGAGATAGTCACTCAGGAGGTGGTAGAGAAGTGCGGTAAGATTCAGTTTGTCCCATTATTCACTTAGACATCTTGAACCTTTTCCGTTTGCTTATACATTGAACTGATACGGAATACAGTACATGTGTGACTCTTGACAGGTCTACATATTGTGTGTGTTTGTGTGTGTGGTGGTTTGTTGTAGAGCTCTCACGGCGGCAGCATGGCACCGTGTGTGTTTAGCCATCTGTTATGTTCTCTCGGAGGAACACACACCATGGTGTCGGCCACAGTGGAGCCATTCACAAACACGAGACTGCCATTAAGTGGGACGCCTCACCAAGAATCCAACACACTAAATACTTAAAGGACAATTCTGCCGATTGCAAACTTTTTTCATGCAGGATGTTTTGAAAATATAGATGGATCAGTATTTGAAACGTTGTATTTCCTAAATAACACAGAATATCAGACCACGCATGTTCTAGAATCTAGTTGCTAGCTAGCTAATAGCTGGTTATTTAAACTACACATCTCATAACACAATCTATTTTGGAAAAAGATACGTTCCCATAACTCTGTTAAACAGCAACGCTTTGATAATCTGCAAGTAGGAAGAGTTTAGTAGTCCAGAGTTATGTCAAGTTTAAAATTATAAATAAAAAGGTCTGAATGTTGTACACTAAAACACTTCAGACTCAAATGTTGGCAATTATATTTCAAAAGTATATTGATGTATAGTACAGATAGAAAATAGCATTCTTATTTGGTTTTGAAGATTGCGTGTTTATTGTTTGTACAGGATTGGAATACAAGTTCATGGTGAAGTCTGTGGATCCAGATGGAACCACTGCAGTGACTGAGAATAAAAAACATCCGGTTGATGTAGTGACACCCGTCAACCCTGACCTCCCTGAAGAAGGGGTGGAGGAGGGAGGGGGAGCCAAACTGGGAGAAGTGACCACTGCTGCCCCTGTGCTCCAACCAAACAGCACTGGTAATTATAATGATTTCAGTAGTGCACATGCAGGGTCTAAGCCCACGGGCCGAACACACAGATGCCTGAGACATCATCATTTCTGAAAGTGCTCAGATGTCCACGACACATTTATAGAGTGTGACCAAATGAGTGTTCCAGCTAAATGGTTACATATGTCATACTATTGTGTACCAGCTGTGATGTAGGCATTTGTATAGTGTGTTGGTTGAGACTGTAGGGACTTTGAAACAGTAATAATGTAATCAGATAACTTTTTAACCACCTCAGAGTATATTATCATGATTCTGTCAAGGTCACTTGGAGTAACAAATGGAGGCCAAGATCACGAAGACAAAAAGGCAACACAAATTGAGGTTCAACATGAAGCTTATTATATACATTGAACACAGCTCCAGGGAAAGAACAGCTTTCTGCAACCCAATTTATTTCCATTGTTGCTTCAGGTGAACATAACCAGAAGACTAATCAAAGACGAAGCTTGTCATTGCCCATTGTCCATGTCAGCATGTTAATTCATAACTTATAATCATTTACTGGAAAACAATTAGCTCATTCTGTGTAAGGAATTATGGATTTGCTCAAGCCCAGTAGGTCACTTTTTAATATGGAGTCTTCAAAGGAGCAAATGAAAATGTGTCCCTGTTTTTTTATTTTTGCAGGATATGATTTGTGAATTGTAATTCCTTCAAACAAAGATTCACAGAAAGTTTGCACAACGAGAACAGAAATATTTACAACGAATGTTCCATGTAGATCAAATACACACACAACTGGAATTCAATAGATGTTGGTTGAGTCAAAGTGGTTCCTTCTTTTGGCCCCTTATGATTCAATCCACCAAGTAGTCCTGCTTGTAATTGATGTTGTTTTGGGCGTCAGATTCTCTTGAGGGGACTGCTGAGTGGAGACAGAGGAAGAAAAGAAGGGTACTTGGAACCAACACAGCTGGTGAGTGGCCAAGACAACTTATTCTCCTCCTCATCTTTTCACTTTTTTTCAATCTTGTTTACTTGCTTTGTGCCTTCCATAAGCTATGAGTAATGGTATCCTTGAAATTGTTTAAAAAGCACAATGTGGGAGAGAATGATAAGAGCAAAACTTAATCCATGAATGTTTGATAGCCTGTGCTAGATTTCGTGACGCACTTAATGAAAAACAAGCGCAGTGGGAAAAAAAGCTTCTCACTAGACCTTGTGTGAATCATACAGTACATTGATAACATCCAGCAGGTCCCTTTATACTTAGTAATTCATTTAGAAATTCTCTAATTTGCTCTTTTCTTGAGAGAAGATGAATATCATGAAATATTTGTTTGTTGTGATCAGTCAGGCAATTTATTAACATTTCTTATCCATCTCTATAAGAAAGCAAACAAGTAAGCATCCCTTTTACACAAACACTTGTCAGAGCAGGTTTCATAATCACATTTGTGAAATCTCGTCAGTCTAAAAATCTCCCCAAACATTTTGCACACTAGTGGCCCCAAGTGGCCTCAATATATATATATGTTTAGAGTGTCATGAAGTTAAAAATGTAGGCAATAATACACATCCTCGATCATATTGAAAAATAAGCTACATTTGTATGTTTTTATTTGTTCTCGCATGCAAGCAGAGCGCTGTCTGGAGCCGATGTCAGAGGGGGCCTGCTCAGAGTTTGTTCTCCTCTGGTACTTCCACCCTCGCTCAGGGGAGTGCAGGCCGTTTGTGTACGGAGGCTGTGGAGGAAACACAAACCAATTCTCTTCAACACAAGAGTGCCAGAGTTGGTGTGGGGTGCAGAGGAGAGGTAAGGGGAACTAATCAGATCACTAAGTAAACGTTGTTCAGCTAATTTTCTGTAAAAGTGTCTCAGTTTGATTGGGAAGATGCTGTGATTCAAAAAATAGTCATTAAGACAACACAATATTTGCCGAATCTTTAATCATAGTAATTAAAATGGCATTTACACTTCCATAGGTACGAATCCTGGAGAGGAAACAATCAACCAAAAATGAGGAAATCATTTGTGTACATAACGTTGTAAAATGTTCGAATCGTGTGTTTTTTTGTGGATTTATTTATATATTTTAACGGCTTGATTTTTTTAGAGACAAAGTTTTGAAAATCGAAATGTGAATTTTATATACTTTTATTCTGAAATAGACTGGCATTAGACTGAGTTTTTTAAAGTCCGAAAATATCAATTTCCATCCTGAAATATTAAATCACTCTTCACCCTTGTCTATATTTGTCGTGCTCGTCTTTTCTCTCCATCTCTCTTGAATACTCAGTCACCTTTCTGATGTTTTCATAAAGTGCCCTGCCTCCTGTGTGGTGAGAACCAATAAGAAGCTGATTTCTGAATGCCTGCTGCTACCTCCACCACTACATATGTTTCTTTGGTAGGGGGTGTTATGGGTCAGGCTGGGAGCCGCATGAGGGGGATTATGCAGGGACTGTTGAAGGGACTCTCCATCGAAGCGGCGCAGCAGGAGCAGGGGATTCCTGCGTGGGTGTTGAAGTGACGGCAGCACGCATTCAGGGCTTTTTTGCTGGCAATGTGACACACGAAGAAGCACGACACAGGCTAGATTCTCAGGGTGTCATTTGATGATGTTTGGGAAAAGAAATCTTAGTTTTCAGTGCAACATGTTGCAGCTCCACCGCCACGTTTCTGGAGGCATTCTTCAATAATCAGTATTTAAAGCAGAAAATGTGGTTCATGGATACAGATGAGTCTTTAGCTGACAAGCCTCCAGAGGCTTCCTCCATTAGTCACGATGCTGCTCTGTACGATGCACTCCCACATGCCGAGAGGCTTCGTAGATCTGTAAGATGTAGTTACGCAGTCTGCAGTGACAGGCTGTCCTCGATGAACCACGCCCTCTGCCAACACAACTAGTGTAGACGAGGCCACACTGTAAAAAATACGTAACACTTATATTTTAGCTTTAAAGTCATTTGTCCTTATTCTTAATATATTTTCTCAGTGTTAAAATAT